AACAAACATTTACCTAGGAGATCTTTGTAATAAATTCATTATTATTAGGCGTTCTTTTTTATGTCACTTAGTATATGTCACCATTCTACTAATTTCGTGTTAAATCTGCCATCTCGTTTTACAGTTTGTAAAAAAACAACAAATTATCTCAAATTCCACGACTACCTACCATCCGGAAACTTGATAGTTTTAAATTTTACGTCAATGAAGATTATGTTGGCGACAACAGGCCATGTAATTCTCTGGTCCTACTGAATAGTTCGGAACTAGGCCTGAACTTCACTCGGGCATGCTCGGTGTGATATTTGCCTAAAATTTAATTATTGGAACAATTATTATTTTGCTGTGTTGAGCCGTAGACCTCAGCACGCTTAGTCCCGACAATATCTTGGCATATGATGGAATAAACCTTCTTTATCTTTACTCGTATTCATTTAATGAATCTGCATGTTGGCTGGCCCAAAATTGCGTAAAAAAATGTAAAGCAAACTCCAAAAAATATTTTTTTTTGCTCCGGTCAAGGTTCCTGAGTCTTTTGGCATGTTCTGAACAAAAAAGGTGCTCTACAGCTTTACTATTAAGTTGGTAGTTGCCGAGATATAAGCGATACAATATTTGAAAAACTGGGAAATATTCCATTTTAGACCCCTAAAAACAATATAAAGTATGAAAAAACTAAAATTTCAGTGTTGTCAATTTTCCCTGATTTTCTTCAAACATCTATTAACAAAATCCCAAAGCATTTCAGGAGGTATTGTTATTGTAAACCTTTTGTTTTTTAATAGTAAGTGCAAGAGAGATGCAACATATGGGGGCGGCCGCGCGTGAGTGATTAACAATTGGAAAGCTTTGGGACCTCATTAATGTATATTTGAAGAATACTTAGGAACGTTGGGAGCATAAAATTTTCGTTTCAACATATTGTTTTTCGGGGTTGAATAAGGCATATTTCGCATTTTTTCAAGTATTGCATCGCTTATATTTTGAAAACTGTCCACTTTATAGAAAAGATCTGAAGCATTTTTTTGTTGAGAATGTCCCGAACAACGCAGAAACACTTTGACGGGACCGAAAAAACAATTTTTAGAATATGCATAAAAAAGATGCAGATTCGTTGAAACTTTTTAAATAAGATTATGCAAAATATCCAAATCAGAATATTTTGCCATCAGATGGGAAGATATTGCCCGCACTAACTAGACTAAGCTAAACGTATATGTCTGTGTTTTAAATTCTTGAATAGACCCTCCGTAATTTCTTATTTTTTAAATATACGTATCTATAATTGAGTTTACGATACAAAATTAATCAAAGTCAATTATAGATATTTTGGTTGATTGGTGTGTCCCAATGTTCCGTAGATATAGAAATACCACGTATTTTTAGACTCAAAATAAGTCGATTGGACATGATTTACCTCTATGCAAAAGTTCTCCGTTTGTCCGTTGTAGGTCTTCAAACACACATTTTGTCAGATATTTTTGAAGCCGATAGTCCGATTTGAATGAAATTTAGGACACCTGTGTTATGCTAGACGTCCTGATATTTGACTTTTCCAAAAAACCTGAAAGGGCTCGAGAAGGGTAAAAACTAGCGCCACTCCTACATAAATTATAGCAGATTTCTTTCGCAATTCTCCCAACGACTCAGATTTCTTTTATTTAAAAGATAATTTAGTTACTTCATTTTTTGTCTTATAAAAACGCATAGTTTTCGAGAAAAAAATTTTCTGAGCTGGTTTCTAAAAAACGTTCTTATTACAAGTGTTAAAATCTAGAAGGCTTCTAGTTGCGCGTGATGTAAGACATTACTTGAACGAGAAATTTGATAGTAGGTGGATCGGTAGAGATCAAAAAGCTTCGATTCAATGACCACCTCGTCCCCCGGAAAAACAATCAACTATTGGGCAGGAAAGTTAACTATACTTTTTTGCGCCGTATGAGTAGCAACAAAAATTTTGGTCTTATTGAACACCTTTTATGAAAGATTTGCGCTCTTGTCTGTATTAAATAAAATTGTAATAAGTAATATCATACTTATTTATTTTCGCTAACTACACTTAAAGAATTAATAAGAGTCTTGGGAACCTCTTGATGCAACTCATTTTTTTTTCTCTCGAAAACTATCCTGTTTTTATACTAGATCAGAAATTAGGTAAATAAAAAGATCTGCTGAAAAAAAGAGTCAGAGTCGTCGGAATACTGGGACACCCTGCAGATAAGTTCGTTGTTCGTTGTTATATCTGTACGTGTATTTGTTCCAGAATGCCTCCAAAGAAGGTCCCAGAACCAGAGCGAAAACCGCTGATCGGCCGGGTGGGCACGAACCTTAAAGTGGGCATCGTCGGCGTGCCAAACGTGGGAAAGTCCACGTTCTTCAACGTGCTCACCAAGAGCTCAGCTGCGGCTGAAAACTTTCCTTTCTGCACCATCGATCCGAATGAAAATAAGTATTTTTTCTAGTACTTTATTTGATTGGTTAAGGTCGCATGTCCCCTTTTTTCCAACTACCTGTTTGGAGCAGTATTCTAAATCTTTTTCATCTGATTATTTCATGGTATTATTTCAATGTTATTTCTAAAAAAATATGTTTTATTGTGAATTTTTTCTTCAATCGTAACTTGTTAACAAATATTAATGCACATTTGAAATTGTATGTTAAAATTCCACTTTGACACTGGAATTGAGCGGGTCATTATTTTTGTTCTTATCACTTTTCCCCTTCGAAAAACTTTGATTTTCTTAAAACCTCATTTTGCAGCAAATGGAGTTTTCAAGAAAATCAAAGATTTTTTGAAGAGAGAAAGTGATAAGGTGATAAGAAAAAAGTAATCACCCGCTCACTTCTTCCATAAAAGTGTGATATGCACATACAATTTTACAACTGTACTATAATTTACATAATAACAAGTTACGATTGAAGAAAAAATGCACAAAAACGCATTTTTTGATACTGATAACATTGTTTTTCAATCATCTGTTTACATAGCATGAAACAATCAGACGAAAAGTATTAAGAGTGCTCCCCCTGACAGGCTGTTGAAACAAAGGGATATGCGACGTTAACAGCATGATTATTTGGTCAAGTCAGAAATGTACCATGTGATTTTCTAGCTGCTCAAAAAGTGCTCATGTTTTTCAGCAACGAGGGAGTGGGTAATCTGTAAAGGTAGAACTAGATGGTGACTGTTTTTTATCAGTTTTTCAACCCTAATTCGACACCGTGACCCTTTATGGTTTTTTCACGAAATTTAGCGCTCCAATTACCAGAATGCAATTTTTCACGAAATAATAGAATGTACATGCTAAGCGGATTCAGATACATGTGAAAAGACCTCTGATTCCATTTTAGCGACCCAAAATACGTACAATGGAGGTCATTTGAACCGCATCTACAGAACTTAAATTTTTAGTTACTCAAATCGGGTAATCGGGAACGTGAGCCCAACTATCCTTATTTTTGGGTCACTGAAACCGAATCCGGATCCCATTCAGATCGAAAATGCCCCGTTTTTGAGACACGGTCAAGAATTCCACTTATCAAAGAATGAATAAACAATTGGGATGGGAGCTATTTTTAGGTGAATCGGGTACGTGCAAGGTACATGAATTCCGAATTCGATGTCAGTTCAGTGCTAAGATTTACGGGTACCTAGTTTTATCAATTTTTCACCCCTAATTAGGCACCGTGACCATTTATTGTTTTTTTCACGATGATATTGAAATTTATCTCCCTAAATTGTACAGAGCAGCGCTTGCATATAGCCACCGATAAAGAAAATCGATTTTTAGCGCCCTAAAGTCGCGGATATTTTTCCAATTGCAACATGATTAATGGGTTCAAATACATGTGGAATGACTTCGGAGTCGGTCCTAGAGACCCAAAATGTGTAGGATACAGGTCATTTGAACCTCATTTGAAGCATTTTAACTTTTAGCAACTATGTATTATTATGTATTACACTACAAAAACGGGTAAAATCGGGAAGTCGTTTTTTGTGTTTTGGTTCCTTACTTTTCATAAATTCCCCGTTTTTGAGATACTTGCCAAAATGTCATGGCAGAACGATTACCAAGACCAGTACACTCGCCATTCAGCCCATAGAGCAGAAGCAGACACATATTCGTAATTTTTATAAATGGTCGAATGTTTGTTTTTACCAAAAAAAATCTTATATTCAAAAGTTTTGGCATGATATATGATAAAGGTTTGTTATGCATTGACTTTATGAATAATTTTTGTAATATTCGTAAAGAATTTAGATGGTTGTTATTCGTAGATCCCGAAATAATAACTTCAAGGTTATGTTTCATTCAACTAGTGTTTAATATAAAATGTTTAATGGAGTTTCATTGAAAATTTGTGTGTAATATCTGAACTTAAATAACAGAAATCTATGTTTCTCTGTAACATTCAAATTCAGATACCATTTTTTACATTCCTGAGAGACATTACAATGTATGTATGGGATTAATCAGAGTAAAAACTAATAAAACATCACAAAATAAGTATATGCATAATACCAACAAAACATAAAAATAACTCATAGAATAACAGACTCAGAGAGGGCATAGTAACATTTACTTATAAGAAATTCTGTAAGTTTAGCCTTGAAATTATTTATATATCCACGCTCCTCAACGTGATTTGGTAGCCTATTGAAAACGCGAAGACCCTGTATGTCCGGAGATCTGACGCTGATCTTATAATTGGCAAAACGCACATTTAAGTAGGTCGAGTGCGAGTTAAAATTTTGTAAAAAACCTACTTTTGTTAATAAAAGACTACCATTTCGTATAAAAATAATGATGGTAAATTTAAAATCTTAAAATGCTTTAAAATGTTTTTACAAGAATGTCTACTACTGACTTCGATCATACAAATTTAACAACTCTTTTCTGGGCTAAAAATACTTGCTGGGCATTTGTGGTCAAACCCCAGAAGATAGGGCAGACCTCAGTCGTGTCTCAACTTGAGCGTAGTAAACAGAAACTAGCTATGCGTCAGTAAGGACCGTTCGTGAATTTTCAATGAAATATGATTGGGAGTTAATAGGCGCTTTATATTGGATATGTTCATCCTAACGAAGCTGGAAGTGTACAACAATACCAAGATACTTATGATTTAGAACAAGCATTATAATCAACGGAATATTTATTAAAACTACACTGGAACACGCCTAATAATCAATACCGTCAACAATCTCATTGACTAATTTCGACATTTCAGTACAAACGCTTTCAGTACTAGTAGAGAGCTCTGATTCTAACATCTTGAATTCAGGCAACGGTTCTTCGTAATACAAATACGGATTCAATACTGACTTCATAGCATCCAAATAGAATAGTAGCTTATGCCTTCTTTCATTATACAAGCTGTCACCTTTGAAATACTCTGTCTTATAATGGTCAGGCAAAGTTTCGCTATATACTTTCAAGTATAATCCAATACCCACAGCAGCTGAAGCAGAAATACTTAGACCTGGGATTATTGGTCTACGTCTCGTCACGTAGTTTAGTGCCTTGGTTATAGGTTTGGCGACGTACTGCTCTAACATTCCAAGTACAGGCAACTCTTCATACTTCAAAGAAGGATATGGTGTAGGTTGCTTGAAGCTGATATCAAACATAAAATTTTGAGGATTCTTCATAAACATCCTCAAATGTTCTTTGTCTTCAAAAAGGTACACTCTGTTGTTGTACCCTACAGCATGTTCTAAAGAACCATTGACTTTGGCACGTGTTAGTTTGTAGCATACTACACAGCTACCGTTTTCGAAAACATTTTCAGGCGTGGATTTCAAATTTCGGATCGTAGGAAGGTTCTGGGGTAGAGCGTTGCGACCGTAGGGCGGTAAGAACTCGTCTGGCGTTTTTAGAAATTGCTCAATATGATCTTCACATAACCAGTAATAGTATTTTCTGTATTGGACGAGACCAGTTCGATCGGGAGGATCTCCTCCACTGGTTAGTTCGTTAGAAAAATGTAGGCAACAAGGGCAAAAGCTTTTATAGTTGCTTTGCCTTTGATGGAACTCCAACGGTGTGACGAGCATATTTGCAAGTCTCAAAGGCCAGTCGTCTTTGACATGAGAGAAATAATGTTTCCGCTCAAAAAATGATGCCAGAATCACAGCTTTGCCTTGGGTCCAAACCGACCAGTTGCTGGTACTTATAGGAATACATGTCGTGACTTGATATTCTTTATCAAACCAGACTCTGAAATCCTTGGCTGTTTTCGTCCATTCCTGCAGAAGACGTTCAACGAATTGTTTGCTGTATCTCCGGAAACCCCTTCTGCCTACATCGTTTGACAGTCCTTCGAATATCTCATCGTCAGTCGCTTGGAGGTCGACTACTAGGTTTGGTACTAGACCTGTGTAGGATAGATGTTTGACTTCTGTTATGGTGTTCGGGAACCCGTCATAAACCATACCTTTGAAAAGAAAGAAGAAAATAGCATGCAGCAGTTTAGCGCCACAAGTTTCTCAAGAAGAACTGGTCGATATGACCGGACCTAACGAGAGAAGTTCTCATAGCACTATTAATCGTTTACAGATCATCTATGGGACATATATACAGGATGCGGCAGAGAGGATGGACGGTTTTAATAAAATCATAAAATAGTTAATTTTTACTCGAAAACAAATTTATTGATGGAATCAGGTTCACAAGGAAATAGCATTTGAGACAGTCAAGTTTGGAAAATCACAACAGGCATGTGGTGGCCGAAATCGTTGATGCAGTGCTGGAGGCGTTCTTGGAAGTTCGCGTAGACTCTCTCCAACATCGCTCTCTCAACTTGGGCGACTTCCACGCGAATTTCGCCCTTCAATACCTCCAGAGTTCGGGGCTTGTTCACGTATACTCTAGCCTTGAGGTGTCCCCATAAGAAAAAATCGCATATCGATAAATCTGGGGACCGAGGAGGCCAATGAACATCCTGCTGTAACCACACACGTCAGATTGGAACACGTCGCCGTCGTAATTCAGGGAGAAAGAAGTTGGTGATCATGTCGACGTAGCGCTCTGAGTTCACGGTAACATCACGACTACTACCGTCTTCGAAGAAGTAAGGGCCAATGATGTAAGTTTGCGATACAGCGCACCAAACCGTTACTTTTGGGCTGTGCAGCGGTCTTTCGTGTAACTGTTGCGGATTTTCATTAGCCCAATAACGACACATTTTGATCGATCAGTGCTCCCATCTCACTTGCGAAGTTCATTCGTTGTGCATAATCTCCGGGCTGTAACTGTTGCACAATGGCCAATTTGTAGGGGCGATAGCGGAGATCCATATGCAAAATTCGCCTTACCGAACGATCACTAAGGCGAAGTGAAGCAGCATGTTTCCGGGCAGATCGAGTCGGACTGCGAAGAAAGACTGTCGAACGCGTTCAACATTTTCAGGAGTTCGAACTGTTCGCGGCGCTCCTCTTGGTCTTCTGTTGATCAGTTCACCACGCCTGCGAAGTGATTCAACCCAACGAAGGATGGTGTTTCGAGAGGGAACAGCTCTATTCCGATGAATGTTGAAGTGGCAACGAAACTCACGCTGTACGACGATGACTGACTCATTATTTCGGACGAAAATGCGGTGCTCCACCGTCCAAGGCTCCATAACGATAACTGGTAAAATAATGCTAGGATCTCACGAGTCAAACGGCAACCTCCCCACCTCTCTCGTGGACGGTGGCGGAGAGTACCACCCATCCCAAAAACGTCCGTTCTCTCTGCCGCACCCCATACAAAGATTTTACTATTGACTCGCGGGATCTAAAATCCTGATCCGGATCATAATAGAACTATGACAAGGCGTCTTTCTAGTAATGGATCAAATGAATGTAGTCAATTTCTTCTTAAATACCTGTCAAACTAACGAGTTGTGTAAGACGCGGCCCAATCCCAATATTAAATCTAAAAATCCTTCATAAATCACGTGGCTTTGCTACAAAAACACATTTTTCCACTTGACCTATGATCCGTATCCGCAATGACCAATAGAAAGCGCTTTCATAAAACTGCATCGTAAATTGGCCAATCAGAAACAAGTATCGTAAATGATAGAACCAAATGCAAAACAAACATAAACACCTGAGAAAATAAAAGAAAAAGGATATATCGGTTGTGAAATAGGTGTAGATTTCAACAAACTCCTTAGTGATCTCCCATTATCACATGTGTTTGCTACTGTATATAATCCGCATGTCGTCGTTCAAAGTAAATAGAGGGTTACAATTATTCTAAACACCTTTATCTGGTTTAGACGACTGTATATTGTTGCCTTTGCTTAATAAAATTATAGAAAGAATGGTAGAAACCAGATAAGAAATTACAACAAAAAGAAAGGTCTGTATAATCGAAAACTTTCTTTTTTGTCAGTGTTTGTCGACTCGACAATTCAGAACCAGATAATGCTTCTGATCCTCGTAGCACCATGTCTACGATGCTGTTTGACTGCTGGTCTACTTAAAGATTACTTATAATGATCTGACACCAAATCTATCCGGATGAAACTGTATTAAACTTACTACCTACTTACTGTATTGAAAACCACTGCCTCAAATATCTGTCACCAAAAACTCAAAAACAACTCAGTTTCACATTCAAAATAAGCTCAAACTGATCGTACCAGCACTTGCAATAACTCTTTTTGTAACCAGATTTTCTAAATAAGGCGCCAAGTATTTCCCGTCCTTATAACGTTAAATTACCCTAAAACTTGTGAATATTTGCGTACACATTCCCCCCAGCCCCATCTCTGGTATTCGTTTTCCTACTACTCTTAACAGTTAACATTACTTTCATTAAAAATATGACTGCCGATACTTCGCATAAATATCGTGCCCAAACTGTGGACGTGAGTGTGCCAAATAGTGGTTCACATATCTAAAAATTACAATATCAGATGACAATTTAATCGACAATCAACACGTTGATGCATTCTTAATCATATATCCGTTTTTCTAAAATTATTTCTCTGAGGTAATACACTTTTCAATAAAGTGCTCAGTAGTGTCAAATCAATCTACGAATTATATCAGATTTGATCCACGATTCGATGCAGTTTTACGAAAACGCTTTCTAACTGGTCGATGTTGATACGGATCATGAAAGTTTTGAGCTCTGGATCAACTGAAAATATGTGTTTGTAGCTAAACCGGGCGAGTTATAAAGAATTTCATGATTTAGCAGGGGGATTAGTGATCCTTCTTACTCAAATTGTAATTTTTTTTGCTAGTTTGAGAGATATTTTGTAAAAAATCGGCTATATTCATTAGATCCATTATTACAAAGGTGACTTCTAATTGGTTCACTATAATCCGGATGAAGAATTTTGATCTTCTGTTAATAAAATCGGGCCTAAGTGTCGTCGAAAAAAGAACTCCCAGTAAGTACGATTTTTTACACAATTTTTTGTATGTCTCTTAAGGATAGACAAGTAATTTATCCAAATTTCAAAATACCGTTAAAAAAATGTAAAGAATTAATAATCTGTTGAACCTCCACGAGGTCTTATGGCCAGAAACATGTCTGGGGACCAAAGAAACAAATACTTGGTTTTCTTCAAAAAGGACCAACATAATTCTGGTTATATATGGTCACGCATTATCTTGTGAGAAAAGTGGATTGATAAGCACTCTTATACAACGCAAAACATGTGATCCCCTCACCCGAAGACGCATCAGACGGTGGTCATGTTGCCTCTGATAAATACCAAAGACAACCTGCTTCTATAAGCAATACCTCAGATACCATAATTCCTAATACCTTGCTATGAGAAGCTTCAAGAAACTGATAATCCGATTTTTGAACTGGGAAAAGCTTCCTCAGGTGTGTAGTTATACCACGATTTTGGTACCCAAGAGGCAAAGGAGCGGCCTTATCGGCCATTTCTGTATTTGTGACAGAACAAGCCCTTGGTGATATGTTACGGAATCTGACCACAAAGCTACAATACCTTGCGTAACCGCCCTGGGATCCATAGACGCAGCCTCAACACATCTAGCCACCATCTCGTCAGTAACCTCCCATCCTTTCCTCAAAACGTCCTCCATATTGACGGCTAACTGACAGAATGGCATGTAGGCCAACACATACCTGTGGGTAAAGTTACGTTATTGTAGTTTTATTCTTGACGATATGCGCCGCCCATGCTCTTTATCTTCCAGAGTTATTCAGTTTTTACAACATCTCATAAAGATAAGTTACTGACAAATGGCAGTGAGACAAAAAGACGTACTAAAGAGTTTCTTCAACCGTTTTATGCCACCATACATAGCTATTGAACTCTTTGAGACCCTTCGCGGAATGTTCAACGATGTAATTAAGTAACAAAAGAAGAATATCAACTTGAACTTAAAGTTGTTTATAACCTCAAATTTTTTCTTTGACCAATCATTTATCGTTCTGCAATTTTCACCTGCATAAGATTCACATGTGTAATTATGTTATAGTTTAATTTTAAGCTAGCTTTGTCATCAAGAGTGATTTTATTCTTCAGGGAATAAAGCATATTTTTCTATCTTTCTATCTAAGTAACCTGGAGTTCGTCGTGCAACCATCTGTGGACGCATTAACAACGTCGTAGGGCAACCTGTTTCATGAGGATATGTCAGTGCCGAAGAAGCCATGCAAAGCTCGGTGTGTGATTATCAGTCCCCTCGTAAGCGTCTACCGTGAAAGTGAGTAAATTAATGTAATAAATGTGTATGGTCCGGAGATATATGACATAAGATGGATAAAAAAATACTCCTGGCCGCAAAGAGTTAAGAAGACCTACACACCGTATTGCCTGACCCCTGCTGATCAACTTCATCCCGTACGTGTTCCTGATTCTATCAGCTAGAATGGTTTTCCCACATTTTGGAGGTCCAGACACAGCCACGTTGAATGGTATTAATGGAAATTTTACGCTGTCCACCATGATGAACCTCAAAGGGTTGGTTCGGAATTTTTCCACGGCTTCTCTGCCGATTAAGAAATAGATATAATTTCTGTGGATGACAGGAAAAACGTTGTATCGTTGTTCCATCGGGAGGAACATTTGAAACGGTATCTTGTCTTCCGCGTATTGTACGGGGCAGGTTTTTCCGAATTTGCTCAGGAAATAGTAGCCGCAAGATAGCAGTCTTTCAGCCACCTATAAGAAAAATCGCGTTAAGTAGGTTGACTCTGCACTTCCCACGCAACGCTGTCATCAGTCCATAAAAGATTATATTCAGCAGCAGTTAGTCCTTCTGAGCTAGCTACAAACATGTGTAGCAAAAACCTTGAATGGATTGAGTCAGTCAAATAGGCTCATACAAATACCCTATACTCCATAGTTTGTTCGTTTGTTTGCTGTAGATTTATTTAGCATTAATGCTAAAATTATCACTGGTATACATTTTTATGCATAATTTAACTACTATGAATTCTGGTTTTCCGTGAAATATTTTTTCAATTTTCCTTTGAACATGGGCAAGTATCTTTATATCATTACTTAATATATTCCATTCGTACAGTCCTTTTCGAAATACTGATTTCTTTGTTATATTGCTACGAGTACTACGATTTTGTAAATGAAAGTCTATGCTTCCTCTAGTAGCGTAACTATTGTACTTCATTGTAGATCTGTCACCATAAAATTTATTCCAGCGTATTTATTTTTATTTAATATCCTTCTTATATAATATTTGTAAATTTGTAAATACAGATGCCTTCGCAGTGAACAAAATAGTCGAAATATGTATAACAAATGAGGAAAAATGATAGTTTTGTACACAATTTTTTTAGAACTCATGGGCTATCCAAAATTCTATAAAAGTAATTTATCGTTTATATTAAAAATATCCAAATGACTCAATTTTTCCATGATTAATCGTAAGATTTATTGTATTTTCCGAGGCATTTTTGTCTAAAGATGTTCCTATAAGGAATCATTTCGTTTTGTTTGTATGTGATATATAAAATGAATAGTGATGGACCTAATTTGCTACCCTGTGGCACACCTACCGAAATGTTTTTTTTCTCACCTATTTGATAAAGCTGATGCTAGATTTTTCCCTTCCCTAAGTATTGTCTGCTGACCGCACAAGCCAACCACGCCAGCCTCGATACTATAACTCGAGATCGAGAATGCCGGCGATGCAGTCAGACGCAGATAGAGTCTGTCGCATGAAGGTTCCCATCGCTCCGCCGACCGCGTGTCGCGTCTGTAAATATTCTCTAAGTTTTTAGAGCAAAATAATATACAACCCCCAATGTTTAGCCCCTACAAAAATGATCCCGGAAATGATCAGGACACTGAATCGTCAAAAAGCAAAGCTTGAGGGATTTTTATTGTATTCAAAAGACTCAAATAGAATCCCAACTTCATTAAGTATGTTCTCTCAAGTATATCATATACCTCTATATTTCAAATATTTCAATGGTAAATAGGATGGTAAAATAGTTTAAAATCAAATAACAACTGTGCCGAAATCACTACTAAAAACGTGCTGAAAAACTGTTTCGAAATTTTGGGATATCCTGTATTAAATTGGATCAATTGTTCACCGAGAAGCAGTTCTTTTCCTGAAAATTTGAAATGCTCTACAATAACACCAGTTCTCAAAATAAAAAATTCTAAAAGATGCAGCGATATGAGACCAGTAAATGTGTTACCAGACATCGAAAAATAATTGAGTCCATAGTGCATAACCAATTAATGCAGTTTACAGAAGAAAACAAAATTTTAGTGGAGGCGCAAGTAGGCTTTCGAAAAAAATATTCCACTGAAACGGCTTTCCAGTTGGTAACTGAGAATTGGAGAAGAGACATAGACTCAGTAGAAGTTGTGATAGCAGTATTTTTGGATTTGAAAAGGGCATTTGAAACGATTGATAGAGATATTTTGTTAACTAAATTGAAGGCATAACAGGAAGTGTTTTAGATTGGTTTAAAAATTATTTGTCTAAAAGGATGCAAGTTGCATAAGTTAATGACACTATTTCATCAAAAATTGAAAATACGTTGGGTGTTCCACAGGGCAGTATCCTGGGACCACTTCTTTTTACTTTATACATAAATGATTTACCTGCCCTAGTCAAAAAATGCAAAATTCAGATTTTCGCCGATGACACTATGATTTATATAGGTAATAAAAATATTCAGACTGGTATCTCTTATATAAATGAAGACTGGGAACTTGTCTCAAAATGGTTAGCATCTAACAGACTAAAATTAAATACAAGTAAAACGAAAGCCTTGTTAATCGGAAAAAACAATGTACAAATGTTCAACTGAATATTGATGGTTAAGATATTGAATTCGTAGAAAATTTTAATTACCTGGGGGTTTTTGTTGACTCTCGATTAATTTTTGATATTCATTATGAATAAATTATAAATAAGATTAGTAGTAAAGTGAGATATTTGTCGAGAGTTTCCGGATGTCTGAGTTCATATAGCAGAACAATTATCTATAATACCATCATTCTTCCAAATTTCTTGTACTGTTCGACTATTCTATATTTAGCAAATAATTCCATTTTTGAAAGACTGCAAATTTTTCAAAATACGTGCTTGAGAATAATACTAAATAAAGATAAATATACTCCAATTAGGCAAATGCTTAGAAAATTAAAATGGCTCAATGTAAAAATTTTTATCAAATATCTTGTAATGATATTCATTTGTAAAGTAAAAAATAATATATTTCCATCAAGTCTAACTAATTTAACATCATCAAATGTTGACCATCATTTACATAATACCAAAAATAAAGATGACTTCCATTTCATGACCAAAAAGTATAACATATGCTACAAATCTGTATTCCATCAAGGGTTGATTGAATATAATAAAATATACTCAGAGATAAAGACCAGAAAAAATTTGACAAAATTTAAAGTAAAATTGAGAAATCACTTGTTAAATCTACAATTGAAGGGTCGGCCGGAACAACGTTGTATATAAAATTTTTCTATAAAATGAGATTTCCGTAAAACAACGTAGTATGTGCCTATTGGGACCCGTTGACAACATAGACCCACCTGTTTACTCGCACTGTGACGCAAATTTGTAAATCGCGCCATTTCAGTCCTCCGCGTGACAACGTTGTATGTACGTAAACAAATAAGAATATCTATGGTTTATGAACCGTTCCAGTGGGTCGGTGTCATTGCTAATGCCAAAGTTAAAAATCCTTTTAAAGTTGTCTGGATGCACCAAGCCTTCTTTGAGAATTTAACAGCTTTGGAATATTGTATATGGAAATACCTCAAATGTAAAATTACACAAGGATTGTGGCTGCAACTTACCGCTGATTCTCCAGCTACTTTGAGAATGAGAAAATCTCATAATATTATGCAGCCCTGGAATTCATTTCCCATACGCAATCGTAAAAGAAAAGAAACAATGACTTTTACCACTGATATTATATCATCTGAATAGTTACCTATAATGTATCACAACCTTCTTCCAATCAACGATGAAAAATTAAAAAACCTTGAGGATATGAGTAATTATATTCCGCTTAAGTATGTAACATTTTATGAGAAATTAACTGCAACCCAGTAATACTTAAGTTTCAGTTTTGGTTTCGAAACACGTTGATGAACTTAGAACGTATTTTCTTGTTATTAAAAATATGTTACTGTGTTCTTTGGTTCCCTTAATAAATAGAACTGCTGAAAATACTTGTTTTGCTTATAGTCATTTAAAGCCTCCCTGTAATAACGTTGTGAGTAACGTGACCATACAACCTTGTTACATGCGTTTTCCATAAAAATGGTTCCCATTGCTGCAAAATAGGTGTCACATTTTTAAATTACAATAACCTTGTATAACTATTGTTCTTTTATTGTACTGGCCAACTATAGACGCAGTCATTTGAAAAAAATGGTTCAAATTTGTTTTTCTTAATTTCGGCCACTGAGCTTTTTTGTTACATACAACGTTGTTCCGGCCGACCCTTCAATTATAGGTTGCCCAGCATTTACATCATACACCATATAGCTTGAATTTACTAGTTCTAAGTTGTTTACAATTATTCTGTTTATGTAGCCAAATGTGCTAAATAAATCTTTCTACTACTACTACTAGTACTAGTAGTAGTAGTAGAAGAAAGATTTAATGGCCATTATATCTAGCCACTGAGATAAGAAGCCTCTCAATAGTAAAAGGTTCTTATCAAAGAGTACGCTTAAATTTCTTGCTGATTCCCCATTTTGTTTGCCCTGTCCATTTAAAGATATTATCAAATTTTCTTCCAGATTATGCCTTATTTTTGGGGAGCAAAAACCATCACAATTGATTTAACAGGATTAAGCTGTAAATTATGTTGTCTAGTATAGCTATCTATGCATTTTAAATCTTCATTGAGCGTCTGTTGAGCTTGGTGAACATAATCGCAGGCAAAGTGGTGAAAAACTGGGTATCATCAGCAAAAAATTGTACATTGCAATGCTTCATCGATCTGTCTATATCGGAAATATAGAACAGAAACAGGAGTGGTCCCAGCATACGAGTAGTATAGACCCCTGAGGTACACCAGACTGTATAGGGCTTTCGCAGCTTACTGAATGTCCACCTGTTGACATTGATTGAACAGTGACCTTTTGAGTACGTTTTAATAAATAATTGAATACAGTTTCGCAAAACCCATAAAATCTACATTTAGCTAAGGATAAGGAATGGTTTGTCGTGTCAAACGCTTTGGAAAAGTCTTGTTGCACTAATGCAGTAGCTAAATGCTTGTCCCAAACTCGAACGATGTTGTCCGTTAAATCGATTAGCGCACTTTTAGAATTGTGACCACTTCTAAAACCTGACTGTTTCAGAGGTAAAATGTTATTTTCAGTTAAATGTTCGGTTATCTGCCTATACATTGTCTTATCTTTACTAAAATCTTTGAAGGTACGTAGAATGCTGATTGGGCATAAATCATTAAATAATCGTATATTACTATTCTTAGGAAGAACAAAATAATATATATCTAACTAACCTCCATAGATATCTCATAGCACCTTTCGAACAACGCAGGTGAGCGATACTTGACTTTATCGACAACGAAAAGCACTTTTCTAAAGTTTCTGAACGAGTACTCATCAAACTCCAACTCAAGCCGAACAACTTCGATCATTTCCGGCCTGCAAAGCTCAGCAACGCTTTGCACGGCTTTGCTTTCCAATTCTATCATCTCCATTATTCTCGATTCGAACTGGAGCAGGAGTTCTTCGTCCACGTTCGATACTTTTTCGAGGTTCAGCTCCGGCATTTCCACATCCAGGATGCGGTTGATCTCATCTACATCCTGTTGGTCAGCTACCGAGTCGAAGCTAACTTGGGAACCTGGCGACAAGCAATTCGATACAATAGATCACTCTCTTGGGGTATTTCACGTGAAGCGGACAGCTAATAAAAGTGAGGTTTTGACATTCGTTCATATTGGGCCCTAGTAGGTGTGAAAGAGAAAACATGATTTTTTTTCGTGGCGTATTCATTTGCCAAGTTACGGGCTTCGAAAGAGAAGCTGCATTTGAAATTGGGATGTTTTCGAAGAATTTTTTCAAATTGAAAAGTGTCATAGCTTTATATAGAAAAATTTCTGAAATTTTTGATAAACAAATTTCAAATTAAAAAAAGACAAGGCTAAGCCGGAAGTAAACATTACAAACCAATATTTGGCCAACCGAATTTTTTTATTTTCGATTTTTTCCCTCCAAATATAGTCTAATCTAAAGTGTGAACGCTTCAGGCCATAATTACTACCATTTTTATCCTGTGAATTTTTTTACTCCAAAATACACTATAACTTTCAAACTGGGATGCGCATTCACTATATCAGTATTTTTAAGCTCTAATAATGATTTTAAATATACTTTCATTTGGACAGAAATTAATTGTTTCAAAAATATTTTTGCAGTTTTGCATGCATCTTGTAGAAAAAGAAAGTTGCATGCAGAATTATATATATATATATATATATATATATATACTAAGTGACTTATAAATCTGAACACCCAGTTTAAATGGTTTTATTTTAATAAAAGTTGGTGAATGTATTTATCTTACTGTAAATAACAAGTGAAAAAATTTTAAGCCTTATCAGTTGGACATTCCGGTTTTTATACTTCTTTTGTTTAATTCACTAACGCTCTAAAAATGAATCTTTCAGCCGCAGTAAAGAATCAACGTTGGCGGATTTTGGTTCTTGACATCCTTTACGATCGGTTACGATGCCTAGAGTACGGAGACCTGTACGATTTCGTCAACTTAGTGAGTTTGATAGGGGCCGTATATTGGGACTTCGGGAAGCTGGACTTTCTTTTCGGGCAATTGCAGTTAGAGTGCAAAGAAGTGTAGACACTGTGGTTAGGTGTTGTCAGGCATGGCTTCGAGAAGGCCGTACGCAAAGAGCAAGGGGCACTGGACGCCGCCGGAGAACAACAGACCGTGAAGATCGCCGCCTAAGATTATTGGCCTTAAGGGACCGTTTCTCCACTACCAGGTCCATTGCAAATGAATGGTTTGCAGAACACGGAAGACCTATTGGCATGCGAAGTGTTTACCGATGAATAAGAAGTTTTGGCTTGTTTTCATACCGGCCACACTGGGTCTTCCCTTTAACTCGAGAACACCGACGTAATCGCCTTGAGTGGTGCAGACAACGGTCACTCTGGGATCAGGAATGGAACAGTATTGTCTTTAGTGACGAGTCTCGATTTTGTTTAGGCATGCACGATGGTCGTGCCAGGGTTAGAAGGCGACGTGGTGAAAGGAGGAATCCACAGTTTTTTGTTGAAAGACATGTTCATCACACTGTTGGAGTTATGGTTTGGGGTGCTATAGCTTATGGTTCCAGGTCACCTTTAATCTTCATCCGAGGTAATATGAACGTGCAGCGTTATATCCACGAAGTTCTAGAGCCCCATCTTTTACCCTATCTTGACACCCTGGCAGATCCAACTTTCCAACAAGATAATGCCCGACCACATGTTGCAAGAGTCACAATAGACTTCTTTCAACATAATGATGTCACATTGTTACCATGGCCACCAAGATCTCCCGACTTATCCCCAATTGAGCACGTGTGGGATATGATGGGTAGGAGATTGCTCAATTTGCAACGTCCTCCTCAGACTCTAGAAGCACTTCGAGAGGAGTTGGTGGTTGCCTAGAATGAGATACCACAGGAGGACATTGACCACCTGATCAGAAGCATGCCTAGGCGCGTTGGAGAATGCGTAGCACATCAGGGTGCATCCACACATTATTAAAGGTCAAAGGGCTTTAAAGCAGTGCAATCATTTTGAAATTTTTATCATTTACTTATTATGCTTCATTAAGTACTTATACAAAATTTTATTAAAATAAAACCATTTAAACTGGGTGTTCGGATTTATATGTCACTTAGTATATATATATATATATATATATATATATATATCCTTTAATTTCTTTGGGTAGAATGCAACGTATTGCAAAAGTACACTCTTATAACTTAAATTCTCAAGCTTTCGAAGAATTTTATCTTCATCGTCTGGAGTAAGTCGGCGAGATTGTTGCTGAAATTGTTTTTTAAACAACAGTGAAGGGAACACATAGTCGACGAATAAAAAACTGGACCGATGAGGTTCGATTAGGACGGAATTATTTTATTATTAAATGGTAAATCATTTTGAACTGTTTTATTTAAAATTATTCGTTGATTGATTTTGGAAGAAATTTGGAGATTTTAGAACTATCAACTATTGAAAATTCCCCCGAGATTTCATCTTTTTTTCCACTGATAACCTCCACATTATCCAACACGTGCCGGCCGACTGACCTCTAATCGTTTCCTACACCTTATCCAGTCCTTCATCAGTCTAACAGTGTGTAGCGCAAATTGTACCTCGATGTAGTTGAAGAAGGCCTGATGAAGCCAACCAGCTGAAATACGTAACGCCCGGGTTACCTATCCTATTTTCTGCTCGTATCAACTTTTCTTCTTTTTGCGGATTTTGCCCATTATTTTCCTATTTTCTGTTATATACCTTTCTCCGCATGATAATTTTGTCTTTGTATATATATATATATATAACGCGAGCAGTAGTCATTGCCAGAGCCAACGACTAGTTGGGTACAAAATAGAATCACTTGTTAATTGGGAAATTGGCAAAACTTTTAGGCTTAAGTTGACTCTTTTGACGATAAAATCAAGCTTTCGGCATTCTCTATGGAGCCATCATCAGGATTCTGAAAACAATTGTGATGCTAGCAAAGAAAACAGGACAGATTTAAAATGTCAGACAACTTACTCGTCGGTGAGGTTGCAGCCACAAGGTGCTTCAGGAAGCACGTAGAGAAGATCGAACTTGTGTTCAGTATAACAACAAAAGGACGGGGACATTGGGCTTGTTAAAAAACGACAGATACCTTCGTTAAAAGTTAAGAAAAAATAAAAATTATATCAATACACCGGAACAAGTTAAAAATATTACACGTGGGGAGACATTTTGTTGAAACAATCTTAATGCAGTCTCTAACCTTCTACTACCGCTACACGTGAAGAGGGGGAAGGCACGGAACAGTAAAGCGTCGACAGAAGACAAGTGATTGACGCGACGGAACGTGAAAATGTACACCTTCCCTGTCCAGCTTTGGGTATGAAGTATACGAGGGACGCTCGGTAAATCTCTACCCAAAATTACTAAAATGCTGGAATAACTTGTTTTGGAAAAGAGTGTGTGGTTCATATGAGTGCAAGAATGTGTGATATTGATACAACCTTGAAAAGATGGGTTATGTGAGTTTATATTAAAAATGTGAGTGAGAAAATGTATTCTAATTTTGTGAAGATGTTGGATCAATTTGGACATGTAGCCGTTCTAGCTTTTCGAAATCCAACAGGTAGGAATAAATGACACTGAGCTGCTTAACATCAGCCTTTTTATTCATGCAATGATATGTCATGAAAATATGGGACATTTCTAAAAATAAACGTTTTGAGTCTGTTTTCTTTATCAAGTACCTCAATACTGCCATAATTCATAGAGTGACCTGTGTCGACAAAATTCAAGCAATGAGGACTCTTTATACTTTATTAGTCTCTAGCTTTTAATGGAGTTTGCCATCATCATCAGGAGAATAGAATGTGAGATTGTTGCTAATGTTATTAAAGGTTAAGTTGAGGGAAACATTTAGTAACCTGGTGAAAGCTGGATACATGGTACATTCGTTCCACCAATCTTATCACAAACTATTTTCATAAAAGGAGCATGAACAAAAAACACTCTTTCTACCACAACCTGTTAAATAAAACAAGGAAATTTATTAAGGATGATCCTGAGTTAATTATTACAAAATCAGACAAAGGCAATGTTACCGTAATTATGTTAAGACAACAATATTTTGACCTATGTAATAATTTGATTGATAATGATCCATCTTATAAGGTTATCAATAAAGACCCCACATCTAAAGTAGAGGAAGGTTGCAATGACATTGTTAACAGGCTACTCAGCACTGGTCAAATCAACCAGGACCAAAAGAGTCCTTAATCACTTATAATTCTGTCTCTCCTAAATTTTATGCTCTTTCCAAAATACACAAACCAGTACTGTCAGTGAGACCTACTGTGGCTTCTGTTAAATCAGCCACACTAGCTTTATCTTCATTAATTGCAGATACTCTAAAGTCAGCTCACATGCAAGGAGAATACTTTATAAAATACTCTTTTGATGTTTGTCAACAATTTAATAGGTTTCGAATACCTCCTGATCATGTTATTGCGAGTCTACATGTAGTTTCACTGTTCAGTAATGTGTATTTAGAAACTTGCATTAGATCCATCAACAAACATTGGGATCAAATTTGCCAACACAGCAGCCTAACTCTGTATTATTTCATCAATATCGTATAGTACCTTTTCCAGAACAATTATTTCACTTTTAGTAACAAAGTTTTTTCACAAACACATGGTTGCCCCATGGGCTCTGTGTTATCTCCAATTTTGGCAGAATATGTAATGGATGACCTTCTTGATATTGTTATTCAAGTATTGCCGTACAATCTAATTTTCATAAATAAGTATGTGGACGATATTATCGTTTGTCTTCCTTATGAAAGGGTGGATGATATTGTTCAAGTTTTTAACAGTTATGATCCCTACATCCAGTTCACCATCGAAAAAGAAGATGACAATCAATCAGTTCCCTTTTTGGATGCAAGATTGATTCGCACCAACGACAATATATTACTAGTAGACTGGTACAGGAAACCAATTTCTTCTGGAAGGTTCCTGAACTTCAAGTCTTATCACGAACTTAAAATAAAAATAAACCTGGTGAAACAAATGAAAAACAGGGTAATACAAATCTCTGACAGTACTTTCCATCTTTCCAATTTAAGGAAGCTTTCACTCTTATTCCTCAACAATGGTTATCTGAAGTATTTAGTTAACAGAATCTTGTTCAGCTCTCCTCCGAATATTTTGCCAATTGCGAATAACAATAGTGAAAATGACAACCAGACGCCCATGAACTCTTCAACCAATGAGAATAACAGCACTACAGTGGTTGCTCCTATTTCCAGAGTTAATTATGTTGTCTTGCCATACATCAAAGAACTAACACCAAAATTGATCAGGCTGTATAATTCCTTTAATTGTTGTCTTGCTTGTAATTCCGTGCTCACAGTCAACAGTTTGTTTTCCAAAATGAAGGATAAGGTTCAGTTGCTTGATTCAACAAACACTGTCTATCGCATTAATTGCAACAACTGTAATTTAGTTTATATAGGCCAAACATCGAGATCACTGAAAGGCAGGATAACTTCACACAAAAGTGACGCCAGATTGCATCCAGAGAGATGTGCTTTGGTATCACATATTAACACCACAGGTCACTCTATGAATTATGGCAGTATTGAGGTTCTTGACAAAGAAAAAAGACTCACAAAACGTTTATTTTTAGAAATGTCCCACATTTTCATGACAGATCATTACATGAATAAAAAGGCTGATGTTAAGCAGCTTAGTGTCATTTATTCCTACCTGTTGAATTGCGAAAAGTTAGAACAGCTACATATCCAAATCGATCTAACGTCGTCCCAAAATTAAAATACATTTCCAATTGCTTATCCTTAATTGAAACGTTTCTCTCACAATCTATAATATTAATTAATTCACACAACCCCTCTTTTCAAGTGTGTATCACTATATTACATTCGTACACTCATATGAACTACACACTTTTCCAGAACAAATTTAATTCAGCATTTTGGTGATTTAGGATGAGGTGTAGCGGAAGTAGGAGGTTAGAAACTGCATTCCGATTGTAATTGTCCCCAAAATTTCTTCTCATTAATTAATTTTTAATATATTCGGGTGTTCTGATAGTTTTAACACATAACGATGGTATCTGTCGTTATCTATAAACCCAATGTTTCCGTCCGATTGGTTTTATAACTGTAACAAGTGCTCTCATCTCCACGTTCGTTTTGAAACACAATTTGGCTGCAACCTCAACGACGAGTAAGTGTTTGACAATATAAGTCGTTCCTGTATTGGTTACTAGCATCACAATTACGTTTTCAGATCCTGATGAAGGCTCCATAGAGAATCGCCGAAAGCTTGCTATTAGCGTCAAAAGAATTAACTAAAGCCTAAAAGTTTGCCAATTTCCCAATTAACAATTAATTCTATATATATATATAACCAAGAGGGCTTTCTATATTTACAAATAAATCAATTTAGTAAGTCTATTCCATTATAAAGATGATTTTAACATGAGTGGTGAATTACATTTTCACACGCATGTTCTCATAGCGAGGGGCCATGGGATGGACTGGGAGATAACCTTAAAAGGCGAGCGACGCGTACCGGGGCTTCCAGTTGCTCACAACGGCAAATGTTCGGCATTGACAACTATAGCAATGGACAAAATCATGATTGCAACAAACAACGATATTTTACTGCTTGAAAAAAGACTGTTACTATTCGCGAGCAAAGTGAAATTGTGAAAATTATAAAATAAAATATTTGTTTCAAAATTAATGTAGTTTTACTAAATATGTATGCCATTTCCGCATATTAGCCGACTAACAAGCGCCTAACGTCATAATCAGCGCGACATGTATGTACATAAAAATATCTCTCCTTTAAGGAATGCGCTTCCCATCTTAAAACTTCTAGTGTGTTTTGAACACACTTTATGCTATATTTTGGAGTAAAAAATTAAGATAAACATTGTAGAAGTTACCCAAATTATGGTTTGGAGCGTTTACTTCCTGTTTTGCACCCTATTTTTTCAAAATTCAATATGTATATAGGAATATCGTATAAAAATAAACCATAATTGTATGTCAAAATATATTTAACATGATCATTACAACTGAAAAATACTCATACTAATATTAATGCAATACCTCGCAAACCAGTCGACCTAAACAAGCGCCTAACCTCATACCCAGGGAAACATGTATGTACATAAATATAATTAATTAATTAATGCGCATACCGTTTCGAAACTTCTGATGTATTTTAAACACTTCAAGCTACACTTTAGAGCAAAAAAATGTAAAATAAAAAAAATGCAATGTTGTCCAAATTTTGGTTTGAAAAATTCTCCGAAAATGTCCCGTTTTAGAATACTGCTTCTGTCTCGAAGCCCGTAACTTAGCAAATGAACGTGCCAAGGAACAAAATCGTATTTTGTCTTCCACACCTACTAGATGTTAAAGCAGGCCCAATATGACTGAATTTTAAAACCTGACGTATTTTTCGCTGTCCGCCTCATGTGAAATGGCCCACCTGCCATTCCTCGGAATACTGTCGCGCCCTTACCTGCTTGTAGCTCAGACGCATCCGAAACTTCTCCAGGACCAATATCTCCCTCTCCCTGTAACTCTGACCTTTTCTCCATGTACCTCTTCTCCCTCTTTTCGTTCAACAACTGATTGAATCTCTGTTGTCTTTGCTCCTCCCATTCCTCAGTTGCCCGTTTGTTCTCTTCCTCTATCACCTTTTGCTTAGTTACGACCTCCGCTTGCCAAATTTTTGTTACGTCTCTTAACAGGCTTGATTTTAGATCCACTTCATCGGGCGCCAAGACTATTATCAAGTCCGGTATCAACCTCAACCAATAGATAAATTAATATGCTTTAATGTATGAAGAATACAATCGTTCTTAATGACAAAGCAACTTAAAAATATACTATAGCTTAGGAGGGTTGATCAAAAAAAAGGTTCTCAGAGAGAATCTTCTGAAATGTCTCTCAAACTAGAGATTCTTAATACGGTTTGTGCAAGATGAGCCGCTAATTCTCATATTAAATAAAGCAATACGTCATAAATCACTTAAACATTTTTACGAATTCAATATCTTCACTATCAATATTTAGTTGAAATTTGTACATTTGTTTTTCCAATTAACAAAGCTTCCGTTTCACTTGTAGAGAATATTTTGAGTTCGTATATGAATGAAAGTGTTATCGGCGAAAATTTGAGTTTATGTGTAAAATAAAAATAAGTGGTCTCAGGATACTGCCCTGTGGAATACCTAACGTATGAGTATTAATAATTTTTGATGGAGTAATGTTACTAACTTTTGTAACTTGCATCCTCTTAGACAAATAATTTTTAAATTTTGTGCTTTTTTTATTCCTATTCATTACTATCGTTTCGATATCCTTAGTATCATTTGAAAAAATATAGATCATTGAACTGTGGTTAGGTGATTCTGTTCTATTTCTGTTGTTTTAGATGTAGGTATCTAAAATTAAAAAAAACGTTTAACGCCTTATATATTTAAATATCTTTTTCTCTCTCTCTATATATATATATTTAACGTCATTCAGGTAAAAATGTGCTAGCAGAGAAACGATAAGTTCGAAAGTGTTCGACCTCAATATGCGTATATTTTCACACGCACAAACATTGCTTTCTGCGGTGTTGTGTACATTTATTGGGGTATATGCTTGTTTCTTTTGCTCCTAAATTGTTTTTTGTTCTTCAATATACATTATTATTATTATTTCAAAATTTCAAGCAAAGAAAGGGTACCCCAAACTTTCGAAACAATTTTTGAGGGCACGTTTAATAGCGATTTCAGTACTGTTGTTGTTGGATTTTGAACTGTTTATTTGTCCTCAGATAATTCAACGATACCGTATTTAATTTTGAAAGTGTATGCAACATTTATATCTGGAAAGTGATTTTCATATAGTCCGGTACAGCGTTGAGAGCACTCGCAATATCAACGACACTTTCCACAAAATTTTCAGTTTGTTTCCAATCACCAACGTATTTGTTTTGGTACAGTTTTCGAATTGAACTTGATTTATATAAACAGGCGGCTTCGGATTAATCAGTCTTTTTAAAGTTCTTCATATCTTCAGACTGTCGTAAAATTTCCCGTTTTCTTCTCTAATTACATACAAACATTCCTAAATGCCGACTATCACGATACAAAATTTTGTTCATAATTTATCTACTAAATCCTGTCTGACACTATCCTTGATTGGGTGCGAAATTTAGCGTACTAAATTTAGCACAAAATTTCGTGTCGTGACAGAGGGCCTTAAGAGTTTTAAATACCTCCCACTCATTGTTTTAATTTGTAAATATACATTTTTGATATTGCCTGTCGCTTAACTTTTGATTTGCCCGAGTATTTTTGTTGTATCAAGGTGTATTTTCGGCAGTAAATCACCTTTTCATCAGTTGCAAGATCTACAAAAGTGTTTATATTGCCTATTATATTATTATGTTCTAACCAAATTGCTAAGCTGCCAGCAAATTCTCGTTCAAGTTTTCCGTAATTAACAGTCCTCGAATCATATTTTTTTATTGGTCGAATTTGCGACAAATTTTGGGTCTGGATACAAACAAAACATATAGTCGAAATCACGATGTTTTCATGTTGCATGATCATATTTGAAAGATGAATAGTTAGGTTATGTTAAAGCAGGTTAGGTTGTTTTCGAATGATACTTTGGTCTTTGGTGTTCCTGTCTCAAGTTATTCTACTCATAACTGTTTTTTTTCTCAAAGCAAAAACTCCCCACTAAAATTATCATTAAGGTATCACTCAAAACCCTAAAAATAAATAATCGGTGAAATAACCTAACTTCACAAAATCAGAATATAAATTTGTTGTCATTGTTGTTGACATCGTGATTTTATCATCGATGTACGTCCATTGATTACTTCAGTACAATTTATGGTATGACGTAATAGTCATCTTTCGTGATTTTAACTACAGGCTTTTGTAGCTGAATGTTGTCATAGTTCTTGATTTAATATCAGAATTGCGCAAATCATATAATTTTTCTCTAGTTTGATAGACATTTTAGAAGAAATTGACCAAATTCATTAGATCCATTACTTCAAATACGCCTATGTGAATACCGATGAGGTTCGATCTACCTGTACTTGATCATGTACTGCACATCTACAGGTCTTTTAGGAAAATCATCGAGGATGAACCCCAGCTTTTTCGTAGAATCGTCAAACCAAAGTTTGTGCAACGCCTCAGAATATACTTCCTCCGGTAAAGCACCTCCTTCATTCAGGTAATCTCTGAGAACTGGATCTATTCTTTCGTTGTTTCTAAGATTGTCAAAATTTTCAGGGGAATTTATCTGAAATACTTCCTTTATTATTTCCTCGTATGATAGGAACATTAGTCCGTAGTTGTGGGCTACGTCTACACCAAGGTCGGTCTTCTTGGAACCTGGCATGCCTATGATGCAGATCCTAGTAAGAAAAATTAGCGGTTATGTTGGATATGAAATATATAAAAAAATGGCGTCAATGCATAAAGGTTTATGTTCGGCCCAAGTTAGTCACTGTGAGCTTGCTGCAAACATGTATAATGAAAAAATTAAATGGATATAACGGGAGGTATAGAACTTTAAATTGCAATAAAACAACGATGGATTATTCGATTGACATGAATTTTTTTTATTCGAAAGATAATTTTGTGGCATTACATTTTAAAAATGATTTCTGGCATATGGCTGCCACGGCTGGCTCGGATGTAGTCCAATCTGGACGTCCAATTTTCGATGACTTTTTCCAACATTTGTGGCCGTATATCTACAATAACATGGCGAATGTTGTCTCCCAAATGGTCAAGCGTTTTTGGCTTATCCGCATAGACCAATGACTTTACATAGCCCCACAGAAAATAGTATAGCGGTGTTAAATCGCAAGATCTTGGAGGCCAATACACAGGTCCAAAACGTGTCTTTCAATAAATCGATTGTAGCACGAGCTGTGTGACATGTTGCGCCGTCTTGTTGGAACCACAGCTCCTGGATATCATGATTGTTCAATTCAGGAATGAAAAAGTTAGTAATCATGGCTCTATACCGATCACCATTGACTGTAACGTTCTGGCTATCATCGTTTTTGAAGAAGTACGGACCAATGATTCCACAAGCCCTTAAAGCGCACCAAACAGTCAGTTTTTCTGGATGTAACGGTGTTTCGACATGGACTTGAGGATTAGCTTCACTCCAAACGCAGCAGTTTTGTTTGTTGACGTAGCCATTCAACCAGAAGTGCGCTTCATCGCTAAACAAAATTCGCTTATGAAAATCGGAAACAACGGCAATCTCGTTTTGGGCCCATTCAACGAATCTACGCCTTGCTTGATGATCGTTTGGCTTCAATTCTTACACGAGTTGGATTTTGTAAGCATGCAAACCAAGATCTTTCCGCAAAATCTTCCATAAAGTGGATGGGCACAGATCCAATTCCGGTGCTCGATGGCGGATGGACTCATTCGGGTCTTTCTCAATGGTTTCTGGGGCTGCGAGTTATCAATTACTGTTCTGCTGGACGATTTTGTCGACGATAAAATGGACGTACTGCGCGATACGTATTCCGCACAGAACCATTATTTTCGAAATAAAACTGCACAATTTGCAAGCCTTGTTCAGGCGTGAGTCTATTCATGATGAATTGCCAAACCAAACTGAGAATAAATCACTTGACAGCTGTCAAATCGGTCGCCTCTTCAAAAGTAATGCCAACTTAAAGTTCTATACCTCGAAAAAAAAACACCCTAGTTTCTTCCCTGCCTTAACTGTCGATCTTCTGGCGACGATGCTGAACCACAAGAGTCAAATATGTCATAAACGGAAGCATATAAATATACTGCGGACAAAAAATGAGATATACCCTCCCCAACCCCCAAATTTCAACTACCAATTTTTTTTCTGAAAATGATCGACACGCATTGTTTTATGTTTTCGAGATGGCAGTCTCATTAAGAAGTGATAAGAAAGATATTCTTTAGTAGGTGACATAAATCATCAAATAACAGGTGCGAAGCTCCAGTCTAACCGTCAAGTACTCGCAGTTCTTAGTTCTTTTTTTTAACATTCGCGAAGTTAAATTGACTGTAAAATAAAGCGCGAATCTTATTGTTAGGGAGTGTGTTACATTCTGGGAAAAGGTCAGAATACCCTTCAGAGCAATTCCTAAGAAGAAACTGACTGAGCTTTACCAAGCTTGGAGGGAGTTGCAGAAAAATTCCAAAAAACATCAAGACGTTTATAGAAAGCGTGAGGAAGAATTTTCAAAAAACCTGGACCGTTTATTCGATATTGCTCAAGCATGCCTTGGAACAAATAAAAATTAAAGAAGCTAGAGTCTTTTTACAAAAACAAAGAGAGCCAGGACGTCCAGGTTGCTTAAAAGGGTGCAGACAGAAAGTTAGCTGAAAAGGAATAGAGGGCTAGTCAGAGAAAACGAATGTACATACTTGAAGGCTGAATCATCATCGCTCACTATACAAATCATAGTACAGCGTACAAAACCGGATGATTTACGTACCATTTCCGATGAAAGCTTGGAACAAGCTTCCTCATCAACATCTCAACCTGTAAGTTATCCGACTATAAAAAAATAGGGAGGAAAGGCTATATGACGCCCAAGTTAAGTGCAGCTTTAGATAGATGCCAGTGAAGTGTTCGGGACTCATTTTATGTACTTCAGGCTGTAATAGAGGCATTACGACTCAGCAGTGAAGACTTTCTCATCAATAAATCTTCTATTGCATGCGTACACAGATTCGAGAAAAAAAGAGCTGAGTCCATAAAATATTATTTGCAGAATAACATGCCTGAAATTGTTACTGTTCATTGGGATGGCAAATTATTACCTGGGCTGGATGTGTAAGGAGTTGTAAAGAAGAACGGTTACCGATTCTCATCTGATTCGGACAACTTCTTGCTGTACCAAAATTGGAAAGCGCATCGGGTAAGGATCAAGCTAAAGCTGTGTCAAACGCGATGTATGACTTGAACCTTGATGATAAGGTACAAATTATGTGTTGTGATAAAACAGCTTCCAATACAGGGCGGTTGAATGGAACTTGTGCACTGTTTGAGCAAAAACTAGAAAGAGAATTGCTGCTTTTTGCTTGCTGCCATCATAGTTAAGAATTAGTTATGAAAAGTGTATAAGAATCAAAAATCGAAAAAGTTACGAGCAGTGTTGATATTCCATTATTTGAAAAATTTAAAGATAATTGGAAAAACATTGATCCTGTAGCAATCGAAGTAAACCTCGACTTCATTCAACAAAACTTGAGTAGCACCAAAATTAAGGAATTGTTAACATTCTATAAGTACGAGCTTCAAAAATCCATAGTACGTGAAGGCTATCGGGAACTGATTGAACTATCTATCATTTTCTTGGGAAAAAAAGCTGAAAATCAAACCTCCTGGAGCAAGGCAACAAGCGAGGTGGATGGCGAGGGCTCACTCACTGAAGATGTGTTTACTACAATCTCAGATTAATATGTGCTCCAGAGAGAAAAAATCACTTCAAGATATTTGTTTATTCAATGCCGCTGTATATGTAAAACCATGGCTTCAATGCAGTTTGGCGATAAAGGCTCCAAATCAAGATCTGTGCTTTTTAAAAACCTTAAAGAAATATGAATGTATTGATCAAACTATTTCCAAAGCAGCTCTGAGCAAGTTTAGCAAACATCTTTGGTGTTTATCAGAGCAAATAATCGTTTTGGCACTTTTTGATGAAGAAGTCGATCAACAGACCAAGAAAAATATGGTTCTGAACCTACAAAGAGAGAGTTTGTACTTTGGAAAGAGATACATTCCATCACAAAACGAGTTGTCCAATTATTTGTGTGGTAAGTGAAAGTACCTTTGCTGAGCTGTTTTTTTTTAGTTGCTTTCGTACTATGTATGCAGATAACAAATCGTTGCAGGGAAATCATTGGGTGAGTTTGTATCAGCGAGGAGCACAAATCTGTTTTTTCGTTTGAAAATAGACAGAAGTTTTCTGGAGAAACCCATGTCTATCTGGGAAACTGATCCTTCCTTTCTGGCGGTAATACGAAATGCCTTTTCTTTAAGAGCAGTCAGTGATACGGCAGTACAGGATGTGAAACTAATTCAGGATTTCTATGGTCTAATCACTGCTGAAGAAGAGCAAAAGCAGTTTTTGCGACGTTGTGTACAGGAACACAGGAAACTGTACCCCGACTGTAAAAAAGAGACCCTAAAAAAAACTAGTCTGAACGATGATCACTTTTATCTATTTTAATAAATAAATGTTACTATTTGAGACTTGTTTTTAATCACTGTTTCCAAAAATAATTATAATTCTCCAGATTGAGCTAAGTAACAAAAACAGTTGAAAACAGCTATTTTCGAAATTTACAAGGTAAACTCGGCACGGATTAATATTGCCGCAGGTAAATGAAATTTTGTTTTTGACTATGTTTCGAAAAAACTTGGATCGTATGCGTTTCAGTATCTCAAAAAAAATTTTTTTCGCCAATACATGGGACACCCTAATGTGTATGTATGAGGGAGATGTAATATATATATATATATATACAGGGTTATCCAAATTAAGTGTCCACCATTAGTAACTTTGTTATTAGTGAAAATACAAAGTTGTTTGAATTAGCAAACTAGTAGCATTTTTAACGCTGGTAAAAATGAGAAATAAAAAAAAACAATTGAGAGTCGTTATTTTGATTTTTTTCAGTAAAATAACATTTTTTTAAATGGAAACCCCTGTATATTATATTTTTTTCTGTTAAAGCATCAAATTTTAAACAAAAAAGCTTACAATAACTTTTCTCCTAGGTTACAAATTGTTGAAGTTATGGCCTCCAATCTGAAACAATTAAATTGTATCGACAAACTTTATTTTCAACATCAACTTATAATCTTACAAAATACAATAACAATTTTTTTTAAAGAAGATGCTCGAAAACACCACCTTGTTCTTCAATACATTTTTGGGCACGTTTTTCAACTGCTCGAACTGTCTTAAGTATGGTCCTACCATCTATCTGGGTTATCTTTTCCCTAACTGCAGTCTTTAACGCGTCAAGGTTATCGTACCTTCGCTTGTAAATTTGGTTCTTTAAATAACCCCACAAGAAGTAATCAAGTGGGTTTAGATCTGGTGATCTGGGAGGCCACTGTATTGGGCCATTTGTTCCTATCCACTGATCATTAAAAGTAGTACTTAGAAAATGATAAGTACCTCTGGAGTTGTGGGCAGGTGCGCCATCTTGCTGAAAATGCAGATGATGTCTACTTATAAGATCCAATTCGTCTAAGAAATTAGTCAGAATTTCTGACATAAATTCCACATATCTTTCACCAGTTAGGGTTCCCTCATAAAAGAACGGGCCAACAATTTTTGAACCAATTATACCGCACCAAACGTTGAAACTGAAACGGTCTTGTGGGCCTCTTGGATGTACTAACAAAAGATTTTCTCTTGACCAATAATGGTGGTTTTTTCTATTAAACATTCCAGAATTTGAAAAATTTGATTCATCTGTCCATAAAAGGTAACGAAAGTTATTTACATTTTGGCGACAGAAGCTAAGATACCAATGGCAAAAAACAAGTCTTCTCTCTGGATCCCCTGCCAAAAGCGTTTGAACTGGTCGGTACTTATACGGAATAAATTTGTATTTTTTTAAAATCCTTTGAACAGTACCATAACTGAAATTAGAGTCCTTGAGAATATCTGCTATTGAATTCTCACGATAAGCTTCAAAATATCCAATAACTGCAATTTCCGTGGCCTCGCTTATTATGAATTCTTTTTTTGCCCTTGTTTTAGCAAAAACATTTTCGTTGCCCCTAAATTTTCGATAAAGTCTCAGAAAATATCGTTCATACGGTTGAATGCGAGCGGGATATAATTCACTGTAGTATTCTCTTGCTCTCAAGGAGGATTTTCTGCACACTAAATAGCATTCTAACATATCACACTTTTCTTCATGGGAGAACATTTTTCTTTAAATTAATGACACAATAAAGCTTATAAACAAGTATTTACACTAATGTTTGACATTATTTGATTTTATCATTGTTTTCCAAAGCCTTCTAGTTGCGAGTATGTCCAGTTTAACAATTTGTCGCTTATCTTAATGCTGTCAAATCGCGAACGCCATGTTGTTTTCATAGCCGTCTTAATATTATAATACTGCAAATAATTAAAAATATTTATCGTTATTTTGACTTTATTTTTGACTTTAGCGGAAAAGTCATTATGAACTTTTTTGTTTAAAATTTGATGCTTTAACAGAAAAAAATATAATATACAGGGGTTTCCATTTAAAAAAATGTTATTTTACTGAAAAAAATCAAAATAACGACTCTCAATTGTTTTTTTTTTATTTCTCATTTTTACCAGCGTTAAAAATGCTACTAGTTTGCTAATTCAAACAACTTTGTATTTTCACTAATAACAAAGTTACTAATGGTGGACACTTAATTTGGATAACCCTGTATATATATATATAGGGATACTGGTAGTCTTACTTTGACCCGCCAAGAACGGTGACTACAACTATATATGTACCCAAATAGTTAATTGATTCAACTTTTCCAGTTGTTTCACCATTTATTCTAACTGCGATAGTATTTTCACTTGAGTATTTCCCTATTAGCATACATTTTGTTTTACATCATGCTTATATCAGTATTCAATAGCCACTCGTGAAAATCTATTTTTAATAATGACATTAGGTTTTTTCTAATATATGGTAAGTCATGATATAGTCGTGGACCTAAGTGTATAAATATTTCAATATTATTTCCCTTTTTTGATGTTTCAATAATCATTTGTTTATTTTTATTTCTAGTATCATATTCGTAATTTTTATAAATGATCGAATGTTTGTTTTTATCAGTTTTATTTTTTTTTAAAACTGGTCTGTATTGTAATATCTGAACTTATATAACTGAAATCTAATTTTCTTTTCAATATATTGCATATATTCATCCAAACGAAAATGGACAAAACTATTCGGAGATACTTACGATTTAGTTTACGTGGTATATACTCTTTTTCCGAGTTTTTTTTTTATATTTGTATTTAGCTGATTATAAAGCGGTAAATTATTTGTGTAATAGGTGGAGACGAAATAGGTTTTTTCATAATTATGTTATTGGTTAATAATTATTGATTATCGCACCAGTCAGTTATCTGTACTAAATCTGTTTGTTCTTTAAATGTTGTGAAAGTTCTGGCATTAAGGATGATGGAGGTGCAATTTGCAAATCCTATGTTTTTACTTTTTGTTGATATATTGTACATATGTATATTAAAAAGAAGGGGTACAAGTATTGTTCCTTGTCATATAACATCGAAAAATCATAGTATCTCATTTTAGAAAAAGTTCGCGTTTACAATACTTACTCGCCTCAAAGCATTTAAGGTTTTTTAGTCAGATCACAGAATGGGGCAATTTTTACCTAGACGAAATTTTACTTTTCAGTTTTGTCATTTCACAAACGCCGAGAATATACTTTTTGGGGGCAAAATGATATTTAACTAAATTTAAAATTTTGACAGATGCTTCATTATGTCTGAAATGAGTTTTAGAAAGTACCGGAATACGTGATTATGAGATTTGTAAGCACCTACCTGGGAGGTGGTATACTTTCCGGAGGATTACCAGTCAAGTATCTCCTAGGCTCGACCAAAAACTTGTCCATGTTTTCTTCGTTTGCGAATAGGTAAACTTTGTCTTCAAACTTCACTGCAAAATCTTCTTTTCCTTTCCACAACACCCAGGATTCGGCGAATGTAACGGGACAGAAGTTGTAAGTGTCTCCGTATCTAGAAGTTGAAAAAACATATTGTATGATTCTATCCGAAACACATCTAGATATATAAAAATTGATCCCTATTTCGCGTGGTCACGCCATAACTTCAGAACGTCTTAACACATTTCATTCATCTTTTTTTCCAGAGTTTCCTAATGTTGTGTATAAGTTTCTTACGGGAAGAAAAATCAAGAAAATATCGCAGAAAATTGGGAAATCATTGAAAACCTAATGATTATTTAAGCTACGCGCGTTTGAGTTTGCTTAAGCAATGAGCACGCACAGCACAATAAATATCTGAAGTACCAAAAGATACAGGCACTCATCTCCGCCATCTTTATTCCAACAGCTATTGCTATATGAGAGAAAATTGCTTATGAAAACACGGCGATTTCATTTTTGGACTTTCATTTCATTTCTTTACTTTCCGTACTTTGTGATGGCCCCTTCAAAAGAAACTGTAGTGTTGCCTAATTGTTATCTTTGTCAGTTAACTCTATTAATAAAAACGGTGGATAAAAATACGTGTCTTCTGCTTAATTGACTTTCACTACTCTATCATTCTGAACTTGACAGCTCACACGCCGCAAATTTGTATTATCGTTTTAACAGTGTTTATCAATGAAAAAATCTTGTTTTATGTAATTATTAGTGCACAGTACATTCGCTTAGAGCTTTTATAAAGTTTTCAGTTTGTTCAGTTGAGGAGTATTTGTTCAAAAATAATTAACAAGCGTGGAAGTTAGTTCACCGCAATCACGCCTTTATATTCACATTGTGTTTCTTCAAAATGCCACCAATTAGACGTACCAACCTAGGTCGCAGAACTCGCAATACTGCAAGTCAAAGATATATCTGTGGCTTGGTCGAACAAGGGCCTATGTAATGTTACAAATTCCCAGAAATTTAGCTAGAGGTCCTATCTTACTGATCGAATGACTCTCTTTCCAATGAAAATGGTCCCAAGAGAATAATCCTAGTAGATTTCGATAAAATCCATGTGACAAGGGCGCAAGTGTGTGGGCCTAACTACAAGATATAAAATGTAAAGTCCAATCTACCGTTTGCGCCTTTTTGAATGGTCCCATGTAACAAATATATTATTAATTTATAAGCATAAAACGGCCTAAGTGACTAATAGGCCCAGAAAATAGAGACCTATGAGACCTTGGGTCTTTAAAATATCCCCTTTCATTTAAATGCTTAGGGCCTAACTGCCACTTATTCAAAGTGCATTGAAATTTCTGGGCCTATGTCAATTTGGGACGTTTCATTATTCAAAAACACGCATTTGAAAAGGGCCTCTGTGCAACAGAAAGACATAATAGCTTTCCGCTTTTGGTCGGATTTGCCACATAGGCCTTTTTGAGTTTAAACGTATTTATTGTGTGTATCTGATGTGTAACATAGGCCTCGGCGCAATTGCCGGTAAAAACATAACCTCAAAATTTTATCTAACGAACAGGTGTGTGTGGCACGTTTTTTGTGACTGTTTTGTGATAAATTCTCAATTTTTGCTGCATTCTTTTTTGTTCAAGGTAAGTTTGAGTACTTGAAAGAATGTTTAAGATGTCGTAGAGTATATTATTATTGTAGAACATGCAAACATAAACCAAAAGTTAAAATGTCTTTGTACAATGAGAAACATCAGTCACGAAGCCGATGGTAGATATAGCTAAGAAAAATAAAACGGAAAATTCTAACATAAATGACGATGTAGCTACCACAACCGATGACAATAAGAAGATTATCATTTTGAAAAATGATGTTATTCAAGTAAGTTTTTTTCTTCGGAGCTGGTATACATAGCGTGTAAAATAGTACCTATTATTTTGGAGCTAAAATTGTAAAATATAGTGATTCTAGAAACCTCATTGTGGCTTGGTTAGCGAGCAAGTTGTTAACAATCAAGATCAAGACGAATACCAGTCTATTGATCAACAACCAATGGAACTTGTAAGAGACTTTGTTAGCGAGGAAGTTGTTAGCAATCAAGATCAAGACCAATACCAGTCTATTGATCAACAAACAATGAAAATTGTAAGTATCTTGATGAGGAAAGTGGAATTAGCTATGTTGTGTATATTAAGATCATCCATCATTAACCTTACAAAAGAGTAGCATTATAAGTTTGAAATTGAAAATACTATATATTCCAGGAACCACATTGTTCCTCTGTGAACCAGCAAGTTGTTACCGATCAAGATCAAGGAAAACTTCAATATATTGATCAACAAAATATGGAAATTGTAAGTTAATTGATTTGAAGGAAAATTTAAACTATAGATTTATATTTTGCAGGACGTAGGGGACAACAAAAGCGACATAACCGATCCTTTTGCTACTGATTCAGATAATTCTTACAGAACAGAAAGTGACAATGAAACCAGCGAGTCAGAGAGAGAAACACAAAAAAGGAAAAAAAAGTCAAGAAAAAGAGTCAGAAATGAGTTAGGGTGGCAAGTATCTAAAAGGAAGGTTGCAAGAGCAAATGGCCAAGAATATAAAACAAAAAAGAATAAAATTGTCCAGGCAAAAATCTTGAAAGAACCATGTAGATGCAAGAAAAAGTGCTATGAAAAATTTAGCCATGAGGAAAGGATAAGTATTTTTAAAGACTTTTATTCTTTGACATATAATGAACAAACTCAGATTTTGTCAAGTTCAGTTAGGGAATTTAAAAAGCGTCGATGCACTAAACTTGAAGAAGACAGCAGAAGATCATTTAGTCATACCTATCTACTGAACAAAGGAGGATTACCTATAGAAGTTTGTAAGGTGAAGTTTATGAATACTCTGGATGTAAGTTTTAAAAGAGTAAGATATACGATTGAGAAGTGTAGGCTTTCTATAAGCGGAATATGTGGACCAGACCAAAGAGGGAAGCATGGCAACCACCATAAAATATCAGATGAAGATAAAAGTTTTGTAATCCAACATATCTCTAAATTTCCAGCTTACAAGAGTCATTATTCTCGATCGCATTCAGAGAAACGATACTTATCTCCCGATTTAAGCATTCAACAAATGTATAGGCTTTATATCGAATATTGTAAAGAAGCGGAAAAAACTCCGGTGTCTGACCACTATTACCGAAGTATTTTTGTGTCCAATTTCAACCTTTCGTTTCATCCACCCCATAACGATACCTGCAGCAAGTGCGATAAGTTAAACATCTTAATAAAATCTTCCGCTGATGAAGGACAAAAAATAGACTACGAACGAGAAAAAAAAGAACATTTAGATGCAGCAGAGAAGGCGTACAATGCAAAAAGGATTGACAAAGAAAAAAGTAAACAAGATGAAACTATAGTAACGGCAATGTTCGACTTACAAAAATGTTTACCGACTCCCCACCTAAAAAGTGGAATTGCCTTTTATAAAAGGCAGTTGTGGGTTTTCAACCTAACAATATACGAGGTTACAAAATCCAACGGAAATAGATCTTTTTGTTTCATGTGGGACGAAACCACTTCAAACCGTGGAGGACAGGAAATTGCATCCTGTCTCCTTAAGTACATAAGAAACTTGCCCCCAGAGGCAACCTGTCTAAATTTATATAGTGATTGCTGCTCAGGGCAAAATAAAAACATTCATGTTGTTACTCTACTGTCCAAGGTGTTTCAACTTTTGCCACCAAACCACATGCTAAAAGAAGTCCACCACAAATTCCTAATCTCCGGTCATACTCACTTGGAAGCAGACTCGATTCATGCTTCAATAGAAAAAGCTAAAAAGCACACAACAATGGATATAAAAATACCCAGAGACTGGTCCACTCTGGTTCGCAGCATTCAGCGAAAAGGAGGAATTAAAGTCATTGACATGTCTCAGGATGATTTTTACAATATAAGCGCTCTTCAGAAAGCGTATTTTGTGAATAGAAAGAAAAACGCGGACGGAGAGCAAATGTCTTTTTTGAAAGCAAACTATTTCCTCTACACGAAGGAAAACCCTGGAAAAATTTTCTACAAGGAAGGCTTATTGGCAAAAAAAGATTTCAAAGTCTGGGATATAACAAAGAAGAAAAAAGGACAGCCAGATGAGACACAACTCGTTTTGGAAAGGCTACATAATTCGTACCCGTTGCCTCTTCCAAAAAAAAAAATTGGACGACATTAATACGTTAATACAATATATACACCCAAATTGTCGGCTTTTTTATGCTAATCTCAAATCAGAAGAAACAGCTGCCGATGAAGATGTATGTCCGACAGCTATTTTACAATATGATGAATAAGCCTTTTTTCATTTTTTTGCCATTGTAAAAAAAAGTAAAGTTTTAGTTTATGTTAATATCTAGAAAACAGTTCTTGAGATTATTTCTATACTTTTATAAAATATATGACATTGCCAACTGTGTTTTATTGTTATTGACGCTAAAATAAATCATAATGGGGAAAACGTTTTATAGTCAAAAAAGGCCTAAGTTATACTCTTTCCTACAATGGGGCTTATATACCATTTTCTTGGGCCTACGTGCATATTAGATATAGGGTCTATGTGAGTTAGGCCGAAATTGTAGGGGCCTAACAAACAAAAATATGTGAATAAATGAATATTTCTACGAATTTTCAATATATTTTGGATCATAGCACATCCAGTTACATGCTACCCAAATTTCATTCAATTCGGATAAAGGATTTTTGCGTAAGAAATAATTTTGTTCCAATTCACAAATCCTAAATTATCTCCAAACTTGATTTTCGTAGATTGGCCCTTGTTTATCCAAGCCACAGATATACGAACAAGTCAATCTGACAACGTAGTATAAGTAGAAGTGTCGCATTTAATCCCAATCGAGCTGCATTCAATTATGACGTGGCAATCGATTACAATTCACAACAAATCGTTGCTATTGGACCAATGAATGTTGAGAGTCCACATTGCAAGGCTTTCAAGTTTAAAAATAAAGCCAATGGATTATTTTGCGTCAGTGGAAAGATCAAATTGACTCCATTGGGCCAGTGGTATCACCACCAGAGTCACTACATGCATTGGTTTCCATAAATGGGCCAGATTATATACATTTTTGACTCATATCGAGCAATACAATAATTGCTTTCAAGTGACGTCATTTGGAGCAACAAAATTCATTTCACAGAATTTTATGCTTAACTTCAAGGTAATTTGATGCAAATAGATATTTGTAACATAACCTGAAAATAGAACGTTGACACGGAACAGTAGAAAACTATGAAGATCAAGGAGGCTATAAATGCGTCCTACAATTGTAAGAACGACTGACAGTACGGCCCCAAGACAGAACAACGTCTGTCCGGTCAGCTACTGGCAGTAATAGATAAATTTGATTTATTCTCTGAAGGCTACAATTAGTGTTAATGACAAAACTAACTTAGAACTAAACTATAACACAATTACGTATGCGGATCTTAAGTGAACTGTAACTCAGACATTTTATATGGTTTAGATATTAAAAAGCTTTTAGGTTCTTGGCGGAATATCTTTAAATTGTTAATTCCTTTGATAGCATCAGAGAGACACAGGTAAATTTTCAGACCATTATAAATTATTGAGTCTTTCACAAGCGTTGATTTAGGTACTGCTAATTTAAGATCTTGTTTTCGCCTTTTATTTAATGTTTCAAATTAAGATTTATTTTTAAAAGTACAAAAACCCTCAACATTTCAAAGTGAAATTAAATAAATATTTACTGAATCTGTAACAGGTGTATGGTGCTAATGCTGCTGTAAATGTTCAATCGAACTATTTTTGTTCATGAGTGTTATTTTGTATTTTCAATTGTCCCCATACATATGAATGTTTTGATCGTCTTTATTCAGAAGATTCTGTTAAAAGATATGAGCCTTCCCCACCCGAAGTGTAGGGCTCTTCGATAAATAATACCAACTCTCTAACTAGTACGTTCAAATCCAAATTCTTTCCTGTTGCTGCTACAAAAAACATTTAGGAATTGCCAATAAAAGTCGAGCTAGGGACAAAATAACAGTAAAAGGACAGTGAAATATAACAGGCGACAATAAAAACAAATTTTCCGCACTTAAAATATTAAAAATGCCTATAAGGAAAAGACACTTCAACACTATAAAAAAACGGATCCATCAGAAACCTTCTGAAATTCCGTTTGAAGTATTTCTCGTTTGTTTCTGACTTTAACTTATCTGGTGTAAAATTTGTAAATCAAAGTAATTTGGTGAGTCTTGGCTGCATTTATAGTTAAAAATATGTAAATATAATTGACTCTTTATTCAGGTATTGTGCGTGTGAATATCAATTTTTACAAAAAATTTGTGCCTATTCGAAAATAAATACGTAAGTTGCCATATAGGTATATACAAAGAAGTCAATCTCAGTAATACAAAATATTTAAACAGCTCTCTACTCGGGTGGTAGTTATATAAATTTGCTAAACTTTTCATGTCTTTTTTTGATATACTCATACCTTCTGTCTTTCTCGATGGGATCTTCTCGACCATCGTTGACAGGAGGTAGAGGACCTTCTGCCAGTATCTCCTCTTGAACTACTTGCTCTCCAAAATTACGTACTTCCTCAGCTCTGTCCTCTTCGGTGTACAGTGATGGCTTTACTCTATATCTGTCTTCGATTATCCTCAGGGTTTCTCTCATCAACTCAGGGATACTCTTGTTGGTTACCTGTTTAAGCAACCGAAAAGACAGTAAATTCATGTTTGACGTACTCAATTTAATTTATTAATCAGATCCCTAAGAGATAATATCAGGGTGAGTTTCAGATGTTACACTAGATTATTAATTTAATATACAGGGTGTCCCAACGAAGATGGAAAGTAGTTTTATGAGCAAATTGGAAAAGATATCAAAAATCTGTTTTCGTGGCAAGCAAGTTACTATAGTGCATATTTTAGATCGGGAGATATAGCTGGTCAGTTAATCGGTCCGCCGCTCACTATCCAATTATTAGGGCGCCAGAGGTCTAGATACTCCCGTACCGCTCCGTGGTAGCGTGGTGGGGCACCGTCATGTTGGTACTACAAATTTATTCTAGTTGTTAAATTTACATTCTCTAGTAAAAGAGGTTACCCAAGTTGCTGATACAACGTGATTGTGAAATAATACCAAATGTGTAATATATTTTTTTCTGGAACGAATCGCAATAACTCCGTTCGGAAATAGAGGTACCTTATATCAAACAAAAAATCGCAAGGAAAGCTATTTAATGATATATAATAATATACAGTTCCATTTGAAATTTATGAGAACAGGTACCTACATTTTGTGTTTTGGGATACACTGTATAAATAGAAAGATATTTCAGCATTTATTTCAGATTAGCTTAAAATCGATGATAATAAAATTTTTGTGAACTAAAATGTATTTAAATATTTTCAAAAATGGCGCAGCTGCAAGCTGTCAAAGTTGGGCCTAATTTAAGTCATTTCACTAAATATCTAAACAACTGACAATCGAAACCATATGTTATATGATATCAAACTTTTTGTTTTTAGAAGCTCTATTTAAATATGCAATAAAATACAGGGTATTTTATCAAAAAAAGACATGTTTATCATGGCACGAAATTATGGAACACCCTGTAGACTCATATATTAAAATAGTTCTAAAATATGCACTGGTAACATATCAAGGTTGCTACGAAAACAGATTTATGACATCTTTTCCAGTTTGCTCATTAAAGTACTATACATTTTTGCTGGGACACCATGTACAAAGTGTTACTCAATAATAGGCCGTAATGACAAGGCCGCAATGCTCATTCAAAGTTTTGTTTGTTTAAGATTTATTTAGTATGATTGCTGCAATTACATAACATACAGATATTTAGAAAAAACAAAATTTGCATCTCTAAGAATTTCCATTGTCCATGAAATAAGCCTTTAATTTTCTTTTAAACATCTTTAAATTACAAGTAGACTTTATATCATTATTTAGTTTATTAAATTCAAGTAATCCTTTCTAAAATATTGATATGCTAGTTATATTACTATTGCAATTTTGCAAATGAAAATCTATATTTCCTCTTGTATAATAATTGTGATAATGATTATTTATTAAATATGATACGAATTTTTTCATATTCAACCGCTGATAACTAGTAAAGTTCATATAAACACGTATCCTAAAAACATACAAAGTCTCCACGTTTAAATAAATTGTTTTTGGTAATTATTTTGCAACATTTTTTGTAAATAGTAAGTCAAATTATTATTACTTTTCATCCCTTAGATTTCGATAAAATGGCTTATTAATGAATACTGTCGGTTAAATTAAATTCATTTTATTTTAATGCATGTTATGAAGATTTTTTTTTTTTGGAAAACGAAGTCAGATATGAAGAGCTGCCAATTTCTTGTGGATATTATTCATGAGACTGCCCCCGACAGGTCACTGGAATTCATAATTATCTTCTAATGGGTGCTAACTTAACGTCTCATTGCAATGAATAACACTGCCAAAATTTATAAAAATTGGCACACGGATATTCAAAATGTTAGTAAATAAATTATAGTTCATAAAAACTAAAAAAAAACACGCTTTAATAGCAAATCGGTTAAAAAGTAGAAAATACTTCTCAAGTATATAAGAAAGTTTGTTACTGCAATAGAAAGTCCAACGATGAAGTATCGCTAATTTGGTATAAGAGCTAAATAAATTACAGTTCATAAAAACTAAAAGAAAACGCGCTTTAATAGCAAATCGATTAAAAAGTAGGAAATACTTCTCAAGTATACAAGAAAGTTTGTTGCTGCACTAGAAAGTCCAACGATGAAGTATCGCTAATTTGGTATAAGAGCAATATAAGAATTAAGATATTAACAAAACATTCAATCATAGTAAAATACCGTGAGGTGTTTGAAATTAAATGTTAGAATATTTTTTTCTTAGTTGATATTTAGAAAATTGGAATTATTATGAAAATAAGTACTGTTATTTGTTTTTTATTATAAATGAATTTTGTTTGTTAATATCTTAATTTTTATATTGATCTTATTCCAAATGTATTAGTTAGTCTTACCTGATTGTTGACACTTTTCATTGCAGCCACATAAACTGTCCTGTGCTTGAAAATTATTTTCTACTTTATAGTTCGACTTGCTATTAAATCGACTTTTTTTAGTTTTTTAAGCTATAATTTATTTTCTGGAATGTTAGCCTCAAAAAGTCAACAAAAGGCTTATTATCAAAAGCTTCCATTTTTGGTATATTTTTTCAAATCTCCTCATCCTCAAATTATTTTCCGAATTTTCCATTTGTTTCCCAAATTTCAATATGATAAAATTATTTTTTTTTTCGAGATTATTGTATTGTCCCCTTGTCTCCTGTGCAATAATCAGACTTCTTTAAATTGGTGCAAAATAGGTTGAAAGATTCCGTTAGATACAGGTCAAGCTAATACAAATAAAAACGTATTTTTTTAACTTTTCAACATCCTGTATATTGGGAACCACATTTCTCAGGATATATGTTTATATGCGCTGTTCTGCTATTATTAACACCCTGTACAATTGCTTGTAACTGAACTTGGATACACCTTTATCTCAATGGGCTTTCTTCCCTTCTCTATAAAATAATTCTTAACCCCATTCCACTTCTGCCTGAAATTTGTAACTTCGCGTCGATACGCTTGCTCCTTGTCGGTCATCCCCTGGAATTTTGAGCTGTCGTCGAATATCTCGGAGAGAATGTCACGCATCATGGCTTCCGGGAAGGGTTTGGGAAGGACCTTAGCTGGAGCTCTCCAGGCTGCATCTACTCTGCCCATCTCCATAAAGAATTGCCTGTAAGTAAACGTGCAAGAAGTACGAAAAATAGACATTTGTATTATTCAAATAGTGTATCCCGAAAATGGCCGATAACGAGAGTGCATTCATAAGAATCATTAAATGGTTTGAAAAGAACTTCCTCCGACTAAACACAGAGAAGAACAGCTTATGAATTTCCCATTAAAGGATGGACAATATTTCAAGTTTTTGATATTACTGACCAAGCTATACGATCACAAATTCAATTAACATGCTGGGAATGATAAACCAGATTATTGGTGGGAGAATAGAAGTTTACATAGTACAAACCTGAAGTAATTAATATACATAAGAAATATAACAGTCACAAAACTACATAATTATATAACAGATTTGAAGAGGATCTTAATAGAGGTCACATTTGTATTAAATATATCAATTCTGTTTTGTAGATTGTTTAAACAGGTACACATGGAATATAGGGGAGACTGCAGCAGTAAGTTGGTCCTGCGGGTTGGTAGATAAAACGTTAGGATGTTTCTAATGAGACATCTTGGCATATTAAGCGACAGGCGACTTAGAATATCCGGGACAACCGTATTGGTTGTGAAGAACCTTGAATAAGAATATTAGTGAGTGCATTTTTCTTCTGTAGTCTAAGCTTAGCATACCGTGCCTCTTTAATGATACATCTTGAGGAACACCTATTTCTGGATAGATACCATCTTTCCTGTAGGACAGATATTTCAGAAACTTGCGTTGTATTGAGTCACAAGTCGTCACATAGCAGGGATTCCAAATAATTCTAGCATATTCAAGTTTTAACATTACAAATGCATTATACAGCATGAGTAGAGCATTTATGCTGTCAAAATCACAAGAGTTGCGCAATACGGAACCCAGACTATTATTTACAGAATTTAGAAGGTAATTTATATGCGGATTGAAACAGGGTTGTGTCAAAGGTGACTCGAAGATCTTTGAATTCTCTTAGATTCGGCAGCGCTGTTTGATTAACCTGATAATGATATTCTGTGGGGCGTTGTTTTCTGGAATACGTCATGCTGGTACACTTGGATGCATTCATGGATAGGTTATTACTGTCGCACCAAATTATTATTCTGTTGAGATTATCTTGGAGACGTTCGCAATCGGTGCTGTTGCTAACCTGAGCATAAATTTTAAGATCATCGGCATATAAGAGCTATTTGAAATCAATAACGTCACAAATGTCATTGATAAATATAATAAAAAGAAGTGGTCCTAGCGATGATCCCTGTGGAACACCTGATGTTGGAGTAAACTTTTGAGATTTGGATCCCTTGAATTCCACAAACAGCTTATGGTTGGACAGATAGGATTTCAAAAGGCATACTAAATCATCTGGAAAGCCCATTCTATCAAGTTTTGCTAGTAGCGGATGAAGGTCCAACCTATCAAATGCTTTACGAATATCTGTATAAATGACATCGGTTTGCGCTCCAGCGTCCAGGGATTCAGAAATGAATTATGAAAAACAAATTAGGTTAGTCGTTGTGGACCTCCCTTCCATAAAACCGTGCTGACAAGGAGATATACCCTTACTGACAATAGCATATATAAAATTGTACAATAAGTACTCCAAAGCTTTGGAGAAGTTACATACCAAAGTAATAAGTCTATGGTTTTCTATAGCAGTTCTGTCACCTTTTTTAAAAATTGGACATATTCTTGGTTCTCGCCAAACGTCGGGATATATTTTAGTTTTCAGAATAATATTGTATACTTTTGTTAATGGGCATGCAAGGACAGACGCACAGTCCCTCAGCAAAAAAGGTGGAATACAATCTGGACCACTGGTCAATTTATCTTTCATTCTTTCCCCTACTGAGCGGGGCCGTGGCAAATGCTTGTTCCGGAAGTTGTTGTATCCAGTATAAAACTTCTTCCCGTTCAAGTGATTGTACACGCGTTAAGGAATCAGACCGGAAGGACATTCTGTGGCTTCGCATCAACTCCAAAACATCACCCAAATTTATTTGCTGTCTTTATCGCTCTCCCTCGGATCATAACTAGGATGACCTACTCGAATACCTCGCCGTCCAGATCGACTTCCTGAACATCAATCACCCCGCTTCAGAGGTAGTTCTTCTCGGTGATTTCAATGCCCACAAACTAGACCGATGCAGCAGGTCGTGCAGTCGAAGCGTTCGCTCTTAGTCAAGGGCTGACTCAGCTGGTGACCAGCCCTACTTTTTTCCCCCGCGTCTCGTCACATGCAAGTAGCCTGTTGGATCTCTTTCTGACCACGCATCCTGTCCCTTACAGCGGTGATGTCCTGTCCTCAGACCACGGTGCTGTGGAGGTTAGGTTTCGGTCAGAACCTGCTGTGGCAGCAGAAACTCGTACAGGCCGCAAAACTTGGCATTACGGACATGACGACTGGTAAGGGCTCAGAGACTTCTTCTCTAGCTTCCTTTTAAGTATTTTTTATATGCAGAACCTGTATCTCTTTTGATTTTTGCTCTCACATTTTTAAACTCCTCAGACGTTTCAGCTTGTCCATATCTTTTGTACAGTTTGTGCAGCTTATACTTGTTTTTTATGTTCCTAATTATTTCACCACTAAACCAAGGTGGGTATTTCCTGCGGCTTAATTTAGTTTTTGGGACACACATTTCAAATATGCCATTTAGTCTATTGAAAAATAAACTACACGCAATATCAGAGTCTTGTATATCATCCAGAAAATACCAATTTATCACACCAATTTGCTCATACAGCAGAAGAGAATTAGCTTTTCGGAAATTAAAATGTTGTATCGGCTTTACTGTTTGATACTCCGGATACTGTTTTCTAGGGTGATACATAAAGGATTGTGATAAACATCCTCTGGAAGTACATCTTCGTATGCCTTTTCAACCGTACAGCACCTCTTAGAAAACACTAGATCCAGCACTCTACCATTAATATTCAATACAGAGTTATATTGATTAAGATCAAGTAATGTCGTAAATGATACAACCGCTGCACTCCTTCGAGAAGTTTGACTATTGTCATCCTGGAGAAACTCTGGAATATTGAAATCACCGATGATATATAGATCGCTTCCAAAGAGGTAGTCCAGAGATTCTATATGCTCGAATGATCTCTCATAGCAAGCTGCACTCGTGTGTGGGGGTATGTACGAGTATACTACAATGAGATAAACAGATTTGTGTTTACTTTTAAATCGTGTTCCCACAATGTCAATGCTTGGTATATCTTCACTGATAAAACTTAAAGTCAGTAATAAATCTTATACTATTCTACCATCAACTGCCATACCCGTTATAGTGTTCTTAATTGGAAAAGTTGGTTACTAACTGAAAGAGTTTTCTTGCTGCAAAAATATGCCATCAGAATTATTATATTATAGGTATTTATATTTATGAGTTGGTTGTGTTTGTTTTCACATGTAGATTTATGGGATGTGAGATTCTCAACAAGCTCAATGATGCCAATGGGGATAAGACAAATATAGCTGTTTTCAACAGAAAACTAAAACAAATATTTTCGGTAGACAAATATTTCTACAGCTTGGAGGAGTTTTTTGCTTAGATTTATGGTTTATACATTTTTAATTCGTCTCCACTGTTTTTATATCTTTTCAATTGTTATAAGCTTTTTTATTGTATTCAACAATGAAATACATTATTATATATTATAGTTTTTTTCAATTATACTTGAAACACATAAAAAATGGCGACCAACTAAGTAAGAAGTACACGCAGATTTGACAATATTGCGATCTAGCCTACCGCCAAACCGACAGTACCGACCACCCAGCAACGTGTCAACCCAGCACGGCATTGCAGCCACGGATACAAGCATTATCGCTCGGTTATCTCTCGGCATTCGACGCAGAGAGGTGTCCGGCACGCGAAAATATCTATCATTCTAAGTTTTAAGGACCAATTTGCGAAGAAATCTGAAATATATATGAAATATCTCTAATGTAGAATTACCGAGGCTGCAAACGTGTACCCTCAACATCCAATTTTTAAGCGCTGCAAAAAAATTCTGAAAATGATCAAGATCTTGTGGAACGCCAAAAGACGAAGTGAGAACGGTTTTTATTTTTATTTTTTTTTGTTTTTTGCCCAAGGCTTCGTTGCTATTGAACCGATTTCCAAAAACTACAAAATGTTATCTTCATTGACATAACAGTGACCTTTTGTAAAAATGTCATCAAACTCTGTAAGTGATTTTAAACGATTAGGAGGAGGCAGTACACTAACAAAAATTGTCCAATTACCAATTGGCGCATTAGATAATCGGAATCAAAACCGTCGAAATCGATTCCTGCAATTCCTCTACTCTCGGTATCTGCTAGTGGTACTGGTATTGCAAATTTTTATTAAAAAGCATGCATAAAAGTGACCTATTGTAGACTATTTGATTCAGGGAAAGTTGGAGGGCCTTCGGACATATCTAAATTGACAATATAACAAGACAAGACCGTGCTGAGCACGATTGGGGTATCTGCAATTTTCTGACATATTTGGCTCTTGATACCTGGTAAATCAGTGTAATTTTCTCTACCCATTGGATAGTTTTTTGGCCGTAACACACAATAATTTTCTTAAAATCTCGCATTTTTGTCTGTTTTTATCTGTAAAAAAAATGAGTCAGAGGTTCAAACTTTGGACAACTTTTTTCATGTTAGCTGCTTATTTGCTTAGGACCGAGAAGTACTTTTCGCCACATTACCACGCCACTCTGTAGAAGGCCCAGATAAGACATAGCGTCGAGTACTGCTCACAGATTTGGGGTGCTGCCGCCATCACCACACAATCCATGCTCCATGCTGTTTAGAGGTAGGCTGTTCGACTGATCGTTAACTCTTCTATAACGGACAGTCTCGGGATCCTTTTGCACCTACGGGCCGTCGGCGACCTGACTCTCTTATACCGATATGTCAACGAGTTTTGCTCCTCAGAGCTCTTCTCCAGGTTGTCACTGAGCGATAAGCGTGCCAAACAGATCCGCCAGACTTCCGTCTTCGAACCTAACCGTGTCGAACTTCGTACATCCAGAACTGGCCGGTACGACCGCTCCTTTGCCGCTAGGGTTTCGAGATTGTGAAACAATCTGTCTGGGGATGCTTTCCCAGTTCTACTATCACTAGGCAGTTAAAAATCGGATTAACCAAGTGTCTTTACGCTCTTTATAGCGGCTGAAGTGCTCCAGTATTCAGGCTATTCTGGCTTCTGTCTACGCAGCTGTTTCGGTTTAAAGAAAGAGATACTCCCTTTAATACGTCAGTATAACACTTGCACTTTCGTCTAGCGTCCTTTTGAGTTTTTTATGCGGTTTTAATATTGTCTGAAAATACCAGAAGTATCTTGCTTCTAGATATACCTACTATCTGAAAATTATTGATCATAGGATCGTATCGGTGAGAAAGTATTGTTGCCCGATATACCTTCAAAATACCTTTTAGATGCATACCTGTAGTTGTCGAAGTGATTCAGACCTCTTTGCTTGTATCTGTTGATCAAAAAATCGTCGCCATCTTCATCTAATAGAACGATAATTTCATCTGCGACGTAGTCAGGATACAGGGCATCTATTAGATCAATATCACACACCTAATTTATAAAGAATACTTTCCATTAACATTAATTCAAATTAGACATTGGGATATGAAGACGTGGACTATAGGATTCGTCAGCTTAGATATCTAACAATAAATAAAAATGTATAAGACCATCAATAATCAAAATAACATTCATAAACTTTGAGACGGGATAGTAACATTTAGATACAAGGAATTCTTCCAACTTCACTTTAGACTGATTCATATTGGAGTATTCCTTAATATCCTTTGGCAGCCTACCATATTAAATGGTTTAAGTCCCAGTATTACAAGCGATTTCATACCAATATCGTATTTAGCAAAAGCTACATTCAAATCATTAACCTACCTGGTTTTATGAAATTTATTGATAACATGTTACTTTAACCAGATTGTTCATTGCACATTATACTCGTATATATTCGCTATGTGTTGCTGAATAAAAAAAGGCGTCAAGTAGATTGAATCTATACTTCCCACGTCTTCGTTTAAATTCCCAAACAAAGCAAAACTTTGAGGTATGTCCACTTAAGTACGAACCGCTACATCTCAAACTATATAAAAAGAACTAACATATTTCTGTTTCAATGGTGGGTGTATGGAAAATGTGTGTGATAGTACCTTTTTGATAACACTCATTTCGCCTTTAATTACTCAGTATATGATGGTTTTCTGCATATTTTGTCAAGTTGATTGGCTCAGTACTTATTACTTATTGATATACACGTATAACAGTACGGACTCACAATCCGCAATAAATAAGGAACACGAACTTTTGGGATGCAGATATCTTTAAGCAACATAGGTTAGGTTTAAATTGTCGTAGATTTTTGAAATTGATTCAGTGACAGCAGGACATAGTGTTACAACATTTAAGAAATTCTTGTCCATTTTAGACATTGTTGGTAGGGGCTGCATATTTTAGGTTGTAAATTGTTGGACGTTTGGTGTCAGTGAAAATTCTTCTATTATTAGTAAGCTGCAGATTCCAGTTATATTATGCACCTGTTAGACATAATGAGTCACACATGTTTTCCCTGCATCTGCCATGGAAACAGAAATATGATAGACATACTTTATGCAGTTTGATATTGAGAGGTCGAAGATTCAGTGTACCTAAGTGAACCTACCTAGTCACTATTCGATTCCTTATTTTGCAATGGCTAGACTCATCCCTTTTCTTTGAAACATCCATCAAAGACGTAGGAACTATAGGGTCAATCACTTTTTTCAAACGGCGGAGCTCTATAATTACGTACCATTCCATCTAGGATCCATCCTCCCCTACAATTTCCCATCTCCACGCAACTCTCTTCGACTTTTCTGATTCCGTTTATGAACATATCCAAGACGTTTTCATTCGCCATTCCTACATCGAGATTAGTACTTCGAACTGCATTTTCTGCATATTCAATCACAAAGTCGTCGTGAACTGTAGCACGTTTAGGTTTGACCTTGAAACATTGGATAAGGTGCAAAATAAGTAACAAAAAGTCCTATCTGTCAGTGGCCACTCTGGTATAGCAATCCTCGAAAGCTGAGAATTGAACAGAGTATTCAGAATCATCTTGCAGTGATTGAGTAAGACGTTTGTCTTTTTTTTTTAGAAAAACGCAGCTAATATGTGTAATTTAAAGAAATGTTCATTGGATTCTTGCAATATTTGACAAGTACGCAGTGCACATTCCTGAATGCGACTCTGTGCTAGCACTAGTCGCGGTGAACCAAGCGATCGTCATTCAGTTCATCATTCAACGCTGTTCTGTCCACCTGTTGCTGATCGATCATGTGTTTATTTTCTTTTGTTCTACGAGGTGTGGCAGAAATTTATGAAATTAATTTTTATTTGGTTCTTAATTTTTTTCAAACATCAATATTATCCCTTTCAAAGTAGTTCATTGGCTAGTTACACACCGAGGAAGATGTTCAGAGTTTTGGTAGTAGCGCTGGGAGCCTTCAACCTATATGGCTCAACATTTTTTTAGACTGAAGTCGACGCGCAGACAGAGGCACCGCGGCACCTATCAGGAGCTTAAAGAAACTTTGTTAATCCGATTTTTGAACTGCCAAAGGTTAGTAGAACTGGGAAAAGCCTCCTCAGGCAGATTGGACTGTAGATATATACTCAAGGATAGGTCTTATATGGGCATTATACAGATTGGGGAGGTTATGTGGAAAAAAGTACTTCTTAGCTCTAAACACATAGCCTAGCTTTTTCTCAGCGGCCGCTATACGCGAGATTTGTTCATGCCAGATCAAGTCCTCGGTGATCTTTATTCCGAACAGCCTAAATGAACGGGTCCTTGGTAGAACTCGGCCATACATCGAAGCCGGATGAGCGCTAGGGCGCTTCCTGTTAGTCAAGGTACAGAACTGTGTTTTGGAAGCATTAAACTGTGAGACATTGTTGCGTCCTCAAGCAGTGAAAACCTCCAGGTCTCTCGTCAGAGAGTAAGTCTCTTTTATCCAGCTCACCGGCAGAGATCGGCTTGTCACTCTGAATTTCTGCATGTAGAGTGCTAATATCATGAAAGCTTTGGTACGGATAGATGGTACAGGAAAAAAGGTCGTTGATATGTGAGTGGAACAATGTCGGAGTCAAAACCGATCCCCGGGGAACACCCGCGTTGTCATTGTTGAATGAAGAAGAGAACCCATCGATTACGATAGATATTTTGCGGCCAGAGAGAAAGTCAGCCACCCATTTGCAAAGCTTCTGTGGGAGGCCGTTGGATAGATTGCATAAGAGGGCAGCATGCTACAGATAATCGAACGCTTTCGTGATATCAAGAGCAACGATCTGAGCCTCACCATATGATTCGATGAGCTTACTCTACAGTTGCGTGGCGTAAGCTAAGAGGTCCCCCGTGGATCGTTGATGAAACTAGACTGCCTGTCGCTAATCAAGCCGTGACGTTCAAGGTACTTCAGAAGCTCCTGCACTTCTGTATGACCTTGCTAACATCAGAAAACACAGCTATATGCCTGTACTTGTAAGTCTTAGATCCTTTTTTGGAAGACCTCTTTCAACTTTTCAAAGGGCACACTTGCCGATTCTTCAAGCCTGACTCAAAACGGCACAACGTTGCGCCAATTTCCGCTGGTTCATTTTACATGAGTCAGAACCAAAACCCATCTTAACTAAAGGCAATCTCAAAAATCATGTGGAGCCATTGCGCCACGGGAGGGAACCGACACACGTGCCGAATGAAGGACAGCAGATGCGTTGCCAAATCGCTTAAAGTGTCTCATTTCTTTTCTGACATACCTCGTACCTTGGACTTTGGTATAGAAAATGGTCTCACAGAATCCCAAGTTACCTTGCGTTTAAGATGTTCAGGAAGATGCATCAACAGCTTCTTCTTCTCCTGTGCCATTTTTCTCATGGTCGCTGGGGCTTTCGGTATAGGAATATCGTGCTCCTCAAGCTGGTCGATTATTTGTCTAATGGCGATAGTAAGCTCCGTTTCCATTTCTGCCATGGCTTTTTTCTGCATCGCCATTGGGAATGAAGAAATTTCGAATTGTTTTGCCGTCGCCTCTTTGTCTCTCTCTTCTACGCAATCGGCTAGTTTTTCTAGATTTGCACTGATCATATTTGCCTATAGAAATCATTTTTGTAACTAAAAACTGGTGTCAAGTAAGTTGACTGTTAGTTTATGAAGGATTATGTTTGGAAAAAGTTATCTATGAATATGTATAACAAAAAGTTAAATGACCTTCCTCCTCCACCCCGGACAGTATTTCCTGCAGGCCCACATGATGGTTGCGATGACCGATCCCGCGTGAATGATGATGTTGGCCTTTACTATGCGCAGTGCACACAGCACATAACGGTGCGGAAGGGATTGCCGACTATCACGTATCGATACCCGACTGTTGGAGATATTTTTATATTCTATACGTTTTAAGGGTAAATGTACGGGGACATGTATGATGAGTGAAATATGCCTAATATGTGGAGGCGTATAAATATACCAATTCAAAATAATCAGATACATCCTTTCCCACCCCCTGCAACCCCTACCGCCAAAATTTGAACCCCAAAAAAAATTTCCAAAAATGAAAAGTTTGAGCGACTTTTTTTCATTTTGCCGCCACTGGACCGATTTTCAAAGCTTTAGTTTCTCTGGAATAGTAGCAACATTGTGTAAAAATTTCATCGAGGATCGAGAGGTACTTCTCAAGTTAAGGGCGGTTATAAGATTAGCGGGTAGACCGACAGACAGAAAGGCCGACGGAAATGAGTGACATGGTTTTTCGTGATGTACATACATGTCATACGAGTATAACATCAAAAAAACATGCTCTCAGTTTCTAAAGTTTTCGCGATAACAGTTTCTACTTCGCCTCCAGTAGGCGTGGGAAATGAAACCCATTTTGAAAATGTTTACGCAGTGTGTAAAAGTATGGGCAGATCAATGGAATTTAGATGATAGAACACCTCAAGACCTATTAGCTCGTTTATGTGTTATCTGAAACGAAATTCAGTAATGGAGATAATTCCACTTCTGTAAAATTAAAACAAATATACCAGTGCTGATTCTTGATTAAATGTATGAAATATGGACGTTAGGTAGGAAATAACCCAATTAACTTTATTGTAATTATATAAAACTGTACATTGCCAAAAATCCTGAAGTCAAATGTGCAAAAGCGCTACAGTATGTTTAGTGTTAATATATTATTTGAGTTTTAAAAGATTGATATGTTGCATAATCTTCAAACTTTATTCATAATATTAATGGAGTAGGCCCGAAAAACTATTCTGAACTTGTTTTGTTGAGCAAAAAATGGTGTTAATCTTAATCAAAACAATAACATTAATGATATTTTTATTGCTTACTATTGAAAATTACTCTTAAATATTAGCTTATTAAAATGTCAAATGTATTTAATTTTGGATTTTTTATGTTTAATCTTCAAGCTACATAGGGAATGAGAGTTCATTTGCGCGATTTTTGACTTGATTGAGTGCAATATTTGCAAATAGAAAATTGTTAGGACTCAATTATCTGGCCGAATCTAAATCACATACATATAAGTTTAGATTTCTGTTTATCGTACGACATTTCGATCACCACTGTGGTCTTTTTCAAGTACAATTGACAATGAGGAAGTTAGTTATTTTTTGAAACACACTTAAAATGATAGTATGTGAAGAACAGCACTGAAAAAAATTAAACTTGAAAAAAGTTAAAAAGTTCCGCAACCCAGAAGTTTCTTATTTGAGGAATTATCTAGCTGGACTGCAGGACTCAGCGATGTCGTCACATGACACTAGCTATCATCGATACCAGCCATGCGCGCGCTGCTCCGTGTCATTGACTAACGTTGCTCTGGTTCGTATTTACGATTTACGGTAAAGATGGGTGAGACTATAGATGTACGTATTGTACCAAAGTGTATAAAATACAGGCATAATCAGTTCAAAAAAAAAAACATGTTTAGGTACCTGTGCCAAAACATAAAAGAATTAAAAGGAAATGGTGCAGGGTGATCAACAGGGGCAGGGACGATAAAAATTCTTCTTTCTGTACTGCTGTAAATATCATTTTGATGTTAGCAGATATTCAGTTAATGTGATGAAAATGTTTGCCATATTTTGAACCACTGTGGCGCCGATTGCGTGTAGGCTTATTTATAAATGTTAATGCATGTCAAAAAATAAATGTTTCGCCTCGTATATTTAACCATTAATATGTCCGTCCACCTTTGGAAGATTAGTGGATTCGGTATCCAGAAAACATTCTTCCTTTTATTTATTGTATATCTATATTGCACAGTAGTATATGCCAAGATACAAACAATATATTGCGACTGGTCAGCTTGGCAGTCCTATAAAGATGAAAACTACAGGATAAGTTTTACATTAGAAAATTGTTATTGAAAATATTGCTCAAAGAAGACAAAAAAACACCTCTTGAATATTTTCCTCATAGTTTAGTTGAGACTAACATTGAGATATTTTTTCTTACCCACTCTCTTATATCTTCAATCCGCTTTTTCTCGAGTTCTTCAGCTTCGTCGGTCCTAATTTGATCTAAAAGTGTCATTGCCTCGGCTATTGCAGCCTGTCGTACTTTCTCTCTAAGCTGTTCGATTTTTTGAGAGAATAGATCTTGGAGCATATCGTTAACAGATAATACGGTGCCGCTGAAGTTGAAGGCCAGACAGTTTGATACAGCTGTCTTACCTTTATGCAAAAAAAAATTAAATTTAAGCAATATATGTACTTTCTTTTCTAAGCGTCAAACCTTTTAGAAAAGTTGGGTATGCAAGATGTTTCATACTTAAATGTACATAGTGAACGGTAGGTAGTATGGACTGAGACCTTATCATATCTGAAAATAAGTTCAAAATTCAGTTCCTACAGGGAGGTTTATCTAAACAAGCCAAATATCCGACATCACATGTCTCAGGCACTATTGAGCCGATTTCAAAGGTACCTAGGAGTACCGCAAAACTAGACGGGTGGTTGAAAAATCCGGGGCTGGGCTCGATTTTTTCGCTTTTTTGTTTTTTATCAAAATTAATAATTTTGAAGCAAAATATTGAAATGCTTGACTATGTGCAAAAATCCAATGACTGATAATTAACAAAATTGATTGAGCATATTTATCAAATATATGATATTCTATTGAGATTTATGTGACACAGAACAATTACATCTTGGTTTCATCAACATTTTAATAACTAACCAAAAGCTTCAAACATTCCAATATTCAGCATAAAAGGTGTTGATTTTGATAAAAAGCAAAAATCGGAATAATCATGCCCCGTCCTGCATTTTTAATCATCTGTCTGGTTTTAGGTCACTAGGTCAGTTTTTTATCTTGTAAAATATCAACAAAATCGGTTCAATAACACCTGAGATATGTGATAAGTGATATTAAAGACTTGACATATTTAGATAAATTTTATCGAGTATGTTCTCTAAAAACTGAATTTAGAACTTTTTTCACATATTTTTACCGTATAATGTAGTTTACCACTGTTTTCAATTTGATTATACTCGTATTATTTACAAGAAATGAAACGTGTATCTGATTGGTGAAATTTGAGACTTGGTTGCAAATTTTGCGCTCGGGGTCAAATGAAAGAACTAGGTAAATCCGGTGATATTTGAAGTATTTCTTGATTTAATAAAAGAATTAGGGCTCATCTTACATCTATCGTACAATGTTTCTCTAGATTGAGAGATAATTTATAATAGCTAGGACTATATTCATTAAATCCATCATTTCAAAAACGCCGTCTGATTTATCGCGTACCTACTCGCAAATTTTGATTCCCGCGGCTCAATAGTAAAATCGGACATTAATGACATGATTGCATTTTGGCTATGTGAGCAGATTATTCTTCTCCTATAATGTGGTACCAAAACGTAAGAGAGTGGCGTAACACATCGTACGCTGCTGCTAGCGCAAAGTCGGTGAGCGCGGATCCCGCCTTGTTGAAAGAGACGCTGCGTTAAGGGTATACGCTAGACCGCAGAGAGGATTATAATCCGCTAGATGGAAGTTCAATTATTAAACCCTGCATTAAACCATAGAATCTCCAAAACTGAACCCATTGCTCTCCAGTGATGGCAGCATAACGATGTGACACTCTCTACTCCATTCCTTTTCAGTACCCGACTATAGTCCCAGGAGAACACGTCAATCAATAATGCTCTTACCTACTGCATAGGCTTGAGCAGTGTAATAAAAAAATATGTGCTGTGATCAACCTTCAGTGCCTTTTGATGAATTCATGTTGAGGAATTATCTGTTATACCAACAATGTTACCTCGTTTTGGAAGGTGTCTGAAGATTTTCATATCTTCAACTAACTTGAACCAGATTAGCCCTCGCTTGTGCCTAAATTTTTTTAGTTATGCAGAGTGTACTTGAAATTGAGACCTTTTGATAGCGTATAGCGTACAGTAAGCTTATTTCCTTGTAATGCATACACCAAAGCCTTAAAATGACCAAGATACCAGGATTCGAAAAAACCTGAAAGGGCCCCAGTCCGGCCCTGCAAACAAGTTGAAAAGTTACCTCAACTGCCACTATCCAAATCATATGTCACGCGGCGTATAGTTTAACATATTTATTTGCAAGTAGGATTTAAAAAAACGGAAACTGACACATTCTTATAGCAACAACTACGTTTGGTGTTTACAGTGAATGTCTTCAATATGCTATTGACACTTGTGAGAGGCTAGCACTTACTTGAAATTTCGTCTCAAATATAATCTCTTTTTCACATATATTTTTGTTCGGAAGAGTAAAGTCTCAACTTTTCGGCAGCCTGTATTGTTTTGACCTACTCGAATGTTTGTATCTGAGCGTTTTCTAAGATTTCTATTCTTATTGAAAAGCTACTGTACCTGCACATTTTGGCCCAAAGATAAAATACTTGCAAGTCGGTTTCGGAAACGGCGGTAAAAGGTACGGCCTAGGGTTCCTAAAAAATTTGATGTACGCTTCTTCGTCAGCAAGGAAGAAAATATTGTTCATAAAATGAACCGCGTACTCTTGTGTCCCGTCCCGGTATATCCCATCTCTCAGGGACACCGGACATTTGGTACCCCAATCAGACCATGTCCATTTAAATATGGGGCTGGGGGTCTGGCGTCTGCAGAACTCATTGTAGTAATCTTCCAAGGTCATGTTTTCCGGTGAGAGAGGAGGACCACCTTCTCCTAAGTCAACCTAGAACAGTCAAACACCTTACTAAGAGCCGTTACTTAAAGGTTAGATGTTCCTTAGGTCATACGTAAGTATCGCTTAAGTTTTACCAAACGCCAAAAAAGACATTCCCCACTTAAGGCATATGGAAGTACCCCTTAAGTGATACTTAAGTGTCCCTTAAGACTTATTTAATGTGCGCCTTAAAACATACTTGAGTTCTCCAGAAGTCATTCTTAGTGTCACATAATTTATAGACGATTTCAAACAATGATGCTTCCTTGAGAAACGTTCGAGGAAGGATTTAACATGCGCGATTCACAGTGTGACATATCTGTATAATTTTTTAAGTTCTGTATATATTAGAATTTCCCAAAATTTCAAATTTTCTAAATCTTTAAATAAATGTTCAGGATTTTCAATATTTTTGAGGTAGAACTGGGACCACTACTATTTATTTTATACATTGATGACATTTTTGTGATATTTTAGATTATTGTAAAATACAGATATTTGCAGATGATACATTAATATATACATATCAGATTAAAATATAGACACTACTTCAAAGATGCTAAATTCTGACTTAGCTAAAAACACAAATTGGTTAAATGTAAATCAACTAAAATTGAATTAAATAATTGAAAAACTTGAATCAATTAAATGTGTTGGGTATATATATATTGATAGTAAACTAAAATTCACTATATATATATCATTATTTCAAAAATTGCCTAAAAAACAAATTATTTTTATAGGGCTTCTTATAGTCTCAGTACAAATTAGATCAAAATAGTATATTATACAATTATTATTATTATATTATCTTGTTCACTGTCAATGAAGCTGTGTTCTGAAACTTACAAGACCTGCAAAATAAAGCTATTGGAGTAACATTATGTGCACCAAAATAAAATTATTTTACAAGAATTGCAGTGGCTCAATATAAAAAATTTCATATATTTGTTTCCTCTTTTCATATTTAAAATAAAAAAGCATCTTTTGCCACAACATTCAGAGTATTAGGTACATAGAATCACACACAAGATATATAGATTTCCGTTTACAAAATTGCTAGTAATACAACTAGCAAATCAATATTTCAGAAGGGATTACTTGAATTTTAAGAACGTTTCATGGACAGTGAAAATTGTAGAAATGCATGTTTTGTTTTTTTTTAATATTTGTATCTTATGTAAATGTTGTATTTTTTAAAAGAATGTTATTGTAGCAAACAAACAAACCTGCGACTCTGATACAGCCAGTCTTCCTGCCAAAACAACATTTTGCAACGGTAAGGTCCTCATCTTAGCTTTAACGACATTGAACATTCTCTGAACACTTGTCCTACCATCCACCTTAACGTAGTACTGAGGATCATGTAGCAGCACCCTTTGTTCAACAAACCTTAATCCAGTATAATGATACGAATCCAACTGAGCAGAAACGTTTGCCTCAAAGTTCCTGGGCAGTTTGACCAAATGCTTGTGAGTGCCGTGGTCATCTGGGAAGGGTATTTCGAATAACTCTTCTGGAATTTCATCTGCGCTCAGTCCTTTTTCCTTTGAGAAGTACTTGTAGATCAAGCTGTCGTATTTCTGCCTAAATAGACTGACGTTTTCTTGCGAATAGATGTCGAATCGATAATGATCGCGTTTTTCACGAACATCTGTTGAGCTGCAGGTGATGTAAATCAGTAGAAATTCGTCTTTGACAAGGTCGAACAAAAAGTTGATTTGATCTTCGAAGTTGGTTCCTAATTCTGGGGCTTGACAGATATCGTAATGGGCGCCGATATCGATGGGGATGCTTGGTTCCTGTTTAAGCAACGGTAAAACGTCTGGGAAGACTTGGGAGCCTTCGGCGTGCAAACTTCCTACACCTAGTGGTAAGAGGATAGAAGTTCATAGAACTAGTACACTGAGAAAAAAATTAGTTAAAAATTTTAATCAAGCCAATTGAAAAGTATAATTAAATATGTGACAGCTAACAAGTTTAATTGGCTTAACTAAACTCCAATTTCTGAAACAGTTTAATCTATGAAACTAGTTTGATTAAGCCAAAGCGCAATCGTTGATCATGTGTACAAAAATTCTACTTTGATTTCTAATAGTAAAACAATATTGCACTCACCCGCATTCACACATACATATATACATGAATTCGACATATCTTTGAATAATCTAGGATATATTCAACTACTATAAAGTCGATACCAACAGGAGTCTCCACTCCCTGTATACTGTATAAAAGAAAAGCACATCAATCCTATGACAAGCATATGTTTGGTATAAATGCCCTTCACTGCCCTAAAGATGTTCTTCCCATTCAGTCACGACAGGATATTCTAACCATGGTTATGGATCACTTAGCGCCTGATGCTCGAGTATTTCGCTGGATCACCATAATAAATTGATCCACTTCGTAGCTACTACACCAACAATGGCCACATTCAAATATGAGGCTCCTCGCGAAAATCGCAAATGAAACTAAGGATTTCTAAGAGCGTCATCGGCACAGCATCTGTCGCATAATCCCGATCATTCACGAATGAAGGGCCGCGACTCAAATAAACAGTTTAAGTGTTTTTATTAAAATGTTTAATTGTTCTAAATGTAAATTTTCTACATAAACTAAATTACCTAAACTAACCAAACAGTTTAGTGAAACAGGTACATGGCTTACTATTTTCAAGCAAAATAGTTTTCTGTCTCATTGTAATAAGCTTTCATCCGTCAGACGGCCAACCATGGACAGTTGTTTAGTGTTATTTGGCAACTCCTCAGCATGATCTAGGTTTGCTCTCAGGCAAGACAACGAACTATTCTCTACCTATAAGACAGCATAAGATGCCATCTATTACCAGAATCGACCACTGTTCATAGGTCAAGAATCTTAGCTATCGGGTTGGCAATAAATAACGTTACCTTAAAATTATATTTATTTATTTATGACTTAATTGTTGACAATATAATTACCATTGTTACCTACTAGACTCTGATGTCACAAATGTCATATGTCAAACTACAGAATCAAGAAATTTATCGTTTGTCCACATGCCTTTAGGGAAGAGAATTTTTGGAAAGCTTTTTTTATTGAATGAATGACCACCAAAAGTAAGTAAATCGAATAACCCTAAATCTCACAGCAACAGTAAGCAATGGAAATCCTACCAAACGCATAAGACTGAACTTGGCGTTGATAGAACCTGATTTTTGACATGCTGTCGCCTCTGGTGGCAGTCCATAACACTATAACTCGAGACGATGTGATCACATCGCTATCGAATTTCGTACCCTTTTGCTCATGGCGTCACTCGGTGACAAATATTCCACTCGTCGGTATACTCGGAGAATGCATGATAGAGCGTTTTCTTTTCAATATTTGGAATAACATTTTTTTGTTATCGATTTTACATTATAATGTTAATAGCATAGCAAAATGTTTTATTTATGTTTTGAAGTTTTGCCGATACAATTTAATGAAGTATATCATTATAGACAGAATACATTGCCGTTAAAGTTATCACTTTTGAACAAATAACAATAGACAAGTTGAATAAGTTAATTTTAAGACTTCATAATTGAAAATGCGCCTGTAGCTTTTTAAACTAAAATTTCTTTAGAGCTCAAGTAAAATGACTTTGTTATTAAGGCCAATTTGTTTCATATAATACCTTTATGCATCAGGGACGTATATTGATTTGTTATATCAACTTTTCATACAGAAAAAGGATAGAGACCAAGATACAATACATACAACATCTTTATAATTATGTGTAAATGGTTTTTTATTCTGTTTTATGAGTAGGTGTTAATAAAAGTATTTTGTATTGTAAACAGTTTTATTGAGTTTAGTTTACAATGTTTATCATTTTCCTCTTTCCAATTTAGGATTTTTCTATTATATCTTGTAACATGCCAAAATCACGTAACTTTTTTTTACTATTTTGATCACTTATCAGTAATTTGAATTTCTCCTTATCAATGGTAGAATGCCCATTCCGAGGCCAAACCATTTTTAATGATTTTCTTTTGGCAAATTTCATAGTTTATTTATTGTATAATTTCGCACGTATTATACTCTCTTTCTCAGCGACTCATTATTGTGATGATATCTTTTGGACACTAATGTTATAGTATTATTAACGACTGTCTTAGTAATTTCCCCATAAATTTTTGTTGGTCCGTCGTAGAGAGAGTTGGTTTTGCCCATTTGTAACCAGAGCTCCACCTTGTGATTTCTAAACGTACCACCCGTATATGAATATTTGGTTTCCTATCAAGATACCTTCTTTACTGGCTTTTCTTCGTTCCTTTTGTCGAACATACCTTCTTCAAGGCTACTCATTTAATCTTCTTTTAAAAAGTCAGGTTTTACTTTCCGGCAGACATTGTGGTGTGCATATCGTTTCATTAATTTCCAGATTCTGGGATATTAGACTCCCAGACAGCAATTTAAGCAGTAGTACCCTTTTATTTTATACCTTACGTTTAGCTGTGTTGGTTTGGGTCCTACCCCGTCCATTTTCTAATGGGATTTTAACCTCCAGCGTGAAAAGGCATTGCGGAGAACCACCATTCACACTCCTCCAGCTTTGTTTTGTAGCTGCCTTGTAGCTGTTTCGCAGCCGATTTTGTTGGAAGCCATCCCTTCCTCTTGACAAAAAATCCTGTTGTGAACAGGATTTTTTATACCGTAAATTTTGGAAAACAAGGCAAGCAGCCCGTACCTTATGAAATTCCTCACGTCACTGGCCACTGGTTTATGACCTGAGCGTTTGTAAGCTACGCCTAGAGCTGTAACTGGAAGAAGACCCTCCTACTCTCCGCTTCAATGAGCTAGGGCCTAAATTTGCACCCTACTTGACAGCTAGTTTGCATTGACAAACACTTAAGATTTCACTTATAGATTTTTAGTTGTTTTTTAATTCATTAATTTAAAAAGAGGAAACAGGAATTACACCACCATTTCCTCTTGTTTATAAAAAAGGCGTGGCAATCTATATTTAACAACCGGGGATTTTAACTCGAATGACCAAATCCATTAACGACTTTAAATAATTATTGGTCAGGCGTTGAAATTGTCGAAAATATGGTTGAGCTCATCACATTTAATTACAAATTATTTTTGTGTTGCTGATAACACTTCAGAACCCATTGTTCCGGAACTTGTTTGTTCTTTGGAAAAATGAAGAAACGTCTTTGCTTTTCTTGTTGTTGTTCCTTGAACAACTAACTACTGCACAGTACAACATAGTTAAATTTTTCAGTGCACAAATTACCTGCTAAAGGGCCGTATAAAACTGAACGTTTCTCACCCCTCTCTGGGAATTTTTATCACCGAGTGCCGTCAAGCATGCGAAAGAGGTTTGCCCTTACCTCCTTCCCCTGCTTCTTCCCCTTCTACAGTTGCTTTCTGCCCGCCTCCTTCCCCATCGATGCTTTCATATTTTGAGGCAATGGACACATGCGGCTTGCTTGGAGGTGGTACTCCCAATTCTACAGTCGCGCCCAAGACCTCCTCAAAAATCTCCCGCACGTTGAACACGGCAGATTCAGAGGAGACTGGGTCTTCTGCATAAAGATCATTGGGAATCAGGGGTAAGCCGCAGATCACGTAGCCCCTGTGTTTTGCTGATTCGCTATTCACTCTTTTTTCAACCTAGAGTCAGTAATATTGGATCACTACTTTGATTTTTCTGATATCAATTTTTTTGTAATTTTTTCAAACCTGTCAACTGTGTGAATCATGATATTGAAAATATTAAGCAAATACAGACGTGCTGGCACTTCGCTCAGTTAATATAAAGCATAGTTAAATAGTCGATCGAAATTGTAAAAGTATCAAGAGATTATACCGGGTGTTTCAAATTCGGCCCTCGCCATTGGGATCTTGGAAACGGTAAAAGATACGAAGTCGCTTGAATGGGGGCAAAGTTACGTGTTTTGGTAGAACAAAATACCGCACTTTTGACCGCAAACAATGGTCAGAACTGGTATTGACCGATGCTCTTCGTGTGGACCATTTTTGACTAATTTTAGCAGCAAGTTGCTTTTGACTGATGCTCTTGGTCAAAAGTAGTTTTGCCTGATTTGGGGTCAGACTATCGATCAATCGATTATCTAATAAGTCAAGATAATTACAAAAAATTATCAGAACAATCGTCAACATTATATATTTTTAAGGTGCAAATCTCAATATAAAAATTGACATTGAAAACTATAAACAGAGCTCAATTATTTTGCGAATGTAGGAACCATTTTATATTTTAATCTAGGGAGGAAAGCTCTGTTTCCGTAATATAATTTTAACTTCCTTTTAAACACGTTAAACGTCTTCGCATTTTTCGTTTCTGCAGGTAAATGAAAATGTTCACACCCAGTGTTTGAAGCGCACTACAAGTTCTTTGCAGTTTGTTGCATGGTGATCTGAAATTGTTTCTATTTTTTTCTGTTATAGTGGTGATTCTTATATTTCCTTGTTCAGAAATATACAGGGTGTTCCATAATTATTGCGACAAAATGATAGGGGTTGTAGAGGGCATAAAAATATGCAATTTTGCCTTATAAACCCCTGTTCATAAATATGCCGTTTGAGCACTACCGCTAATTTTACCTTAAAAGCTCATAGGAGAAACAAAAAATTCACCAGCTGCAAAATGTTCGTCTAGCACATTTCATGGTCTCGCCCGTTTGTAAAAAAAAAGCCTGCTGAGTTTACATTTTTGTTATCGTAAATTCTCCACACCGATTCATTTAATTTACCTGAGTGGTGCGTCAAACTAGATAGTAAATAACAGTACCTTAGTGTTAAAATGCAGCGTTATTCGTATGCGGAACTTGCGGATATGCATTTAATTTACGGAGAAGCTGGTGGTAACGGAAGACGAGCCTGGCGAATCTACGCCCAACGGTTTCCAGAACGTCCTCATCCGCATCACGCCATTTTTGCAAGGATTCATGGACGTCTTCATGTCAGTGGCAGCATCAGACACCTCGCGGGAATAGGGCGGCCCTTCACGAGGCGCACAGTAGAAGTTGAGGAAGCGATTCTGCATCATGTAGAGGCCAATCCGCGTACAAGCGTGCGTGCTATTGCACATGATATGAGAGCGTCTCAAACTAATGTTTGGCGGGTTCTCCATGACCAGCAACTACACCCATACCACCTTTTAAAAGTCCAAGCCATGGGTCCAGAAGACTATCTGCCGCGTCGACGTTTTTGTCGTTGGTGGCTGCAGAAGGAGTTGAGGCAACCAAACTTTGGTCGCTACGTTTTGTTCACTGGCGAGTCCTGTTTTACAAAGGACGGTTATTTTAACAGCCGTAACAGTCACATTTGGGATGAAGAAAACCCTCATGCCATGGCCATCCATAGAGACCAACATCAGTTTTCAATTAACATCTGGTGCGGCATTGTGGACGAGCATATCATCGGGCCATATTTGCTTCCACCACGTTTGGATGGGCATGCTTATGGTCGATTCTTACAGCATGTGCTACCGGAACTATTAGAAAATGTGCCACTGAACATAAGAACCAACATGTGGTTTCAACACGATGGCGCTCCAGCCCACTTTTCTTTACACGACAAATTTCCAAATAGGTGGATAGGCCGAGGTGGCCCTGTGCCTTGGCCTGCGCGGTCACCCGACCTGACCCCACTGGATTATTTTCTCTGGGGCCATCTGAAAGCTTTAGTGTACGAAACTCCTGTTCCCAACCAACAAGAGCTACTGGGAAGAGTGATGGCCGCGTCCGCACACGTTCAGGACATACCGGGGGTATGCCACAGAGTTCGCCGATCTTTGAACAATCGTGCACAGCTGTGTATTGAGCAAGGTGGAGGACACTTTGAGCAATTAGTGTAGGTAAGCTGTTTCAAGAAACTGATCTTTTTTTTTGCTGCAGCCCAAACGGCATATTTCCGAACAGGGGTTTATAAGGCAAAATTGTTCATTTTGATGCCCTCTACAACCCCTATCATTTTGTCGCAATAATTATGGAACACCCTGTATATTTCCCGTTAAGGTGAGCATGTTGAGAAATTGGAAGCTTATTCTGCAGGAAGTGGTACCTAACATACATCTCAATATCCGCTTTTGCGCAGTAAATACCATAACTGCAACCGGCGACCAGCCTCAGAATCATACTGCATAAGTTCAATCGGGATGCTATATAGCTAGTGATATAAACTACGTAACATAGTAGAGGAAATTACCGACCTAAGGTTTCTTTACATATATCATCGATTACCAGAAAATATAACTGATTTTTACTGACCAGTCTCAAGATGATGTCGATTCCAATAGCTCGTCCACATCTTAAATTGAATTCGATGCACTGGCCAGCTCTGCTACCGCTCTCAATTTCTTGTTCTATGAGCAATTGCGGTTCTATGTAGACGCATTTCCAGTAATCCGCCAGATACTTGCCCAGTTCTAACTCACCTAAGTTCGATCATACAAAGTTAGATCGCCGTCTCTCCAAAATATGCCAATTTGGGTCATTATGAGTATTATATAGACGTGTCTCAACTCGATTTTCTAAAAGGTGAAAGCAGTGCCAAAAGATGAAGAGTACCCCAACCCCAGTGGCTACGCGAATTCAATTTGGCGCCAATTTTCAACGACTTATACACCTATATAATAAGATACGTTAACCTCTTCAACTTGAAGATATCGAGTAACACCTCTATGCGCGTCTGTTCTAACACTCTCCGTTTCGCTCCGCCCAGTGTTGCCGAACCTATCGATTTTTCGGTATTTCTACCGAATTTTTTTTTTTTACACCCAATTTTGTCCTTGAATCTACCGAATTTTTCTGACACCGATTTCATCTCTTTCGGTTCGCCGATAAATTTTGGCTCAGTAGCCGTCCCATATAGAGCTTCCAATTTTTGATTGCAAGATTTGTTTCAGAACTTTTGCGTGTCAAATGGACTCCATTCGTTGATATCCATAGTCATTGACAGAGGTGTATGGCGACAAGTGTCAGGGAGTTTAGTACCGGTCGGAAGGGAGTCCACGATGAAGAACGGAATAGACGACCGTCGGTCTCGAAGGCGGCTATCGAGATGGTGCAACGCCCGAGAACTTGTTTTTTGGGCGTCCCTTATTCTGGCATTTATTCTGTTATACTTGTTATCATATTTGTAGCCCTGAAAGTCCAAAATAAAGGCAGTAAAAACAATATTTTCAAAAAAGATTTCTGAATTAATGTTTGTGTCCTGCTGCTGCCTCATAGATCGCGCTGGTATCTTTCAATGCCTCTTCAGGCGCCTGAATACAGTACTCGTATATCGTTGGCTATCTTCAGGTGGAATCATTAATCAATGGTTTTATTTAAAAAACAAACCCTTAAGTACCTTTTTGGGATATCACTTAGCATTGTTTCTTACCTATACCAGGTTTTCCCAGGATTATAAAAGACACAGGATTGGATTCTAGATATCTAATTTGCGCAGACCTCGTCGAATATGTCTTCTCCTGAACGTAACTCTGGCTGTCCAAACTGGTCAATGAAGTGACCGAAAATTTAGAGGCCAACAGATGGTTCACCCTCTCCACTGGGTCAACATCCTCCGTGTGGGGGTAGTATGAATTTGCATATGCGTACCTAGTAGATGAAAATCTTATAGATCATCCTATCATTCATTTTATTCTATTCTATTCAGGGTATAACAATAATGAGATGTCAATCTGTCTTATTCATATGCAACACACAAAAATAATGATACAGCTTTTTATAGCAAGATATCATAAGGAGCTATCCTAAGGCACAATTTTCCTTTTGACCCGCGAGAATCAAAATTTGCGCAAATTGGACTAAACAGCATTTTTGTGGAAGAAGATTTAATGAATATGGTCGATTTCTTGTAAAATATCTCTCAGAAAAATGATACTTTGTGTATGGATGATGTAATTTATGAAAATTCTAACATATTTATATTACATAAGTACATTTTTTGTAGTCCTTATCAATCAATGTATTATCACTATACCTGTAATTATGTTATATGGGTTAGAATGATATCCACATACAAGGATATTTCCCTTTTGTGGCATAGCAATTTATTCACAATTTATAATTGATGTGAATAAATATTACCTGTCATAGGTAAGTAGTGACACTGTTATTTTCTATTAATTGCTGAGTAATTTCCTTCATATCAATCTAGATATTGTATCAGATTTGCTCCATGCTCCGGCAGGGCGCCAATCCTTCTTTTTCATTGGTAGAAAATTTGAAAATCTTGGAAACAGCGTTGAACCACAATTTCGAAAATTTTAAAACTTTGGAAATTTTGCTAACTTGAAAATTTTCAAGAAGTTTACAAAAATTCTAAAATTCCAAAAACCTATGAAGACTACCTACTGTGAAATACAAATGTTAAATCTTTCCTTGAACGTTGGTTGCTTCATTACTATTTGTTTAAAATTTCAGAGTTCAGTTAAAACTAAAACTGCATTACGTTATCTGAGAATGTATATCCCAAAGTTTTTAGGGTGCCTAATTACGTCTGTCATCAAAATTTCAGAACCAATGTACTGCATCTAGTATCAAAATTCAGAGAACTGTGCTGAAACAAGTGTTTTCTCTATATACGATTGGTTTCATTTCTTTTACACATTTTCATCCGCATTGCTTCAACTGACCATTCATCTAAAGGATTGTCGTCTGGTTGGTACTCGTCCTCTACCTTCGCAGCATCCGCTATGTATTTTAAGTACTTCTTACTTATCAGGATAGTTTGGTCAACTTTAAAATCAGCTAGTTCGTCTTTTCCTTGTTCGTAGAAATCAGTTTTTTGCTCCCTGATATGACACGTCATTTTGATTGGACCCGTTTTTGTCACTACCAGTCACCTTGTCAGAACGTAGGACCCTTTAACTTGCTTAAAGCCTTTTAGGTCAGTAGGTCTGGTTTACTGACATAACAAAGCAGTAATGAAGTCGAGGAGAAAAAAGATGAAAGGAAGGAAGAGAACGAGTAAAGATATGAAATTACGTAGACTGGAGGAGCATCATGGCAGTGTTCACTAGGACTCAGTAATTTTACATTATTTTGTTTGTTTATGATTTATTTAGCATGTTTGCTACAATTACATTCCTTTAAAAAACCACCACAATTACATAACGTACACGTATTTAGAAAAACAAAAGTTGCATCTCTAAGAATTTTCACTGTCTATGAAATAATCCTCACATCTTTAAATTACAAGTAGACTTTATATCATTCTTCAATTTATTAAATTCAAGTAATCCTTTCTGACGTATTGATTTGCTAGTTACATTACTATTGCAGATTCGTAAATGGAAGTCTATATTTCCTCTTCTTTAATAAATGTGGCAATGATTTATTCAGTTCTACGCAATGTTATAGCAACAGATTATTTTTCATTTTAAATTTAAAGACAAGAACCAACTGTGATTTGAAATTTTTTATATTCAACCACTGCAATTCTTGTAACATAGATTTTATTTTGGTGTGTTTATTTTTATTCAATATTATTCTCATAGCTTTATTTTGAACTTGTAATTTTGAGAATACAGCTTCATTACCGGTGAACAAGATAGTTGAACAATATAGTAAATGTGGTAGAATGATTATGGTATTATAAACTATTTTTTTGGAAAATGTACTAAGACTATGAGAAGCCCTATTAAAGTAATTAGTAAATACTACCTTAAATTTTATTTTACTATGAATATACCTAACTAAATATTTAATTTATTCAACTTTTTCATTATTACACCATTTATCCAATCCACATATTTTTCCAACATGCTTTTTTTTGCTCAAAACGGTTTCTTAAAGGCATGTACCGATTCTGCGTACAAGCCACGTAATTCAAAACATTCCTTACCCTTCAGATAATACTGTGTGCAATAGACGTTCATTCTCAAATAATATATTGATCCCAAAAAAGTTCTCAAAAAACTTGTTTATTTGTGACTGAAGTAAGGGTTTATTGATTCCAGAAAAAATCCATTGTGTTTTTTGAACAATTGAAAGTCAATATTTTGTGAGGCTCATCAAGATGCACTATAGAAGGTTTTTTGTTTCAGCACGTAGGGTACCAGTGCCGGACGAGAGGTTTGACTATCTTTGTGAATATTTCAAACCCTTGAGGTAAGCTATAGTGGAATTCTCGAAACATTGAGCGAAATCTGCCTATTGATATTCTAACAATGTCTTTTCATCTATGTGATATCTCTTCTACAAATTGCAGATCTATTTTTATCCCAATACACTTGATATAAGTAGCTATTGCCTAGTCAAAACATATAATTTACCATTTATAAGTAGAAGCCAAAAAAGCGAAATAACTATGCGTGTTACAAAACGGTGAGAATCCATCAAATTTGAAATAGTATGTCATTTACCCATCTCATCTGGATCTAAAAAGGTCACAATTTCTGCGGCATTAGAAAGAAAGACTTGTCTCTACTATGCAATTTCCTTAAGTGAACAATTTCTCAGATCTTTTGGCTTGATTGAAGAGTTTTTACGTTGATTTGATTCGTGATGTGCCTCAGGTATTTTTGCCATCAGGGTATTACTTCAGGAGCTGATATCGGCGATCAAATAATGATGGAATTAAAAGTAGGTTCGTTCTTTAATCTTCAAGCTGGTCACTAATATTAAAAAGTGGCGTCAAGTATGTTGACTCTGAGCTTCCCACGCAACGCTGTCATCCATCCTTAAAGGAGTAGTAGTAGTAGTAGTTTATTGGCTCTTTGCACAAAGTGTGTTTATACAAGTCAATAATTACATAAATATATAAAATGTGATAGAGTAAATGCTTAATACATTAAACGTGTTCGTAAGACGGGTACAGAGATAAGTTGAATAAAAACAGTAACACTAACACTTAGAAACGTTAAAATTGTAAGTAGTTAGATAACTAAAACTATTGTTAAGCTACTCCTCAAATCAGAAACAACATTTGGTGATTAAATATTTTTTTATTGTTCCCATAAATATGCTGGTTCATGATTCCCTAATGTTATTTGGTAACGCATTGAAAAAACTATGCTGTAATAATTGCATGCATTTCTGCTTTAAATAGCTTGTTGAAGCGCCGCATGAGGTCTCTCGCGCTTACAAAATGCTGCCGGATGCATCACGGATTTATGCGAATCGGTTTCCCAATCGAGTGCAACCAACCCCTCGTGCCTTTGTTAATGTAGTACAAAGTGCTCGTGAATCAGGTGACTTGAGACCTCACAGGTGAGAGCATGCCGGTGCTCCAAGACCGCACGATCAAATACAGGTCCGCACTGAAATACTTGTCGGGAGGATACTTTATTAAACAAGGTAACATTTTTTTTTTATTTTTACACACATAATTTGGTTTATCTTCCTTCTACAATCATTATCTGAAAATTAATGACTCAAATTCAAAGTCACCCTGTATAAAGGTTACCATACGGTCTAAATATAAGTCCTCAAGTTTTTCAAAGAACAAATGAAAGATTTTTGGCGATTTAGACATTGAAATTTATTTTGATGACCTAATAATTTCTGCATCAGATGAGGAAACACATGACCTTATATTAAATGAAGAGAAACAGGGAGCTAAGAAATTTGGAGTAAAATTTAATAAAAGTAGAATACAGTATGAAGTTTCGGAGGTAAAGTATGTGGTTCAAGTTTTTTCAAAAGATGGTGTAAAACCTGATCCATCATACATCGAGGCAATCTTGGCAATAAAGGATACCACTAATAAAAAAGAGTTATTCAGCATTATTAGCATGATTAACTATTTGACCAAGTATATCCCTAGCTTGTCTCAACTTATGTCACCTCTCAGGGAATTGACTAAAGGTAATGTGACTTGGTTGTGGACTTTGTAGCACAGCACAGCCTTGAATAACATAAAGAATCTAATAACGAGCCTTCCAAATTTGAAAATATTTGAATCAAGTCTACCAATTGAAGTACAAAGTGATGCTGGTCAGTTTGGTAGCGGTGGTTGCCTTTTACATCAGGGACAGCCAGTAGCATTTTGCTCACGAAGCTTAACAGAAAATGAGATATCTCCCCCTTTTTACAATATTGTTTTTTTTACATTTTAATGCATGAAACTTAAAATATTATTTCACATTAGATACTTAAACTACTATCTATATCTGGCCGATTTTCTCACAACTCTGCCAGATCTTGTTGTCATATTGTTGTTTACAAATGGTTTATTGTCACAGTTCTGGTTACTAAATACAATCGTGGTTGAAATAGTTGTTGGCACATTATAATCATTGGATTCGAAATCGTGACTCTGTTCCTCTTGAGGAGCAAAGTTCAGACTAAATATTATCAAATTCATCTTGAGATTGTACTGGAGGACACTCGTTGGGAGAGTGTCTTAAAAATGACGAGTTCCTTCTTAAATTTCTTCCAAGGTTGTCACGCACCAAGACCTAGGGCTATCACATTTACCTACTATCTCCCCTAGTACTCAGAATTTTTCTCGATCTGACCTGATTATAGCATGTAAAAAAAACAATATTTTAAAAAGGTGGAGATGTCTCATACTGCCTTAACTTAGAGTGTCAGCTGCTTTAGATAGTTTGTTGAAGCGCCGCATCAGGTTTCTCGCCCTCTAAAAATCTAGACGTCACTGGTGAATGTACGTATTTAGAATAAACTCAAATAATAATTAAAACAAGGAGTGTTTATTAATATGCTGATAACAAGCATATAAGACAGACAGTCCCATATGCTTCAACTGGAAATTTGGTTTGTTCTTTGTATCGTAGCTGTGGAAGTCGGCATTTTTTTCATATTGTGACTCATTTTGCTTGATATAACTGGGAGCTGCTAGGATAAATACACATCGACATGTCAAAGCGCCTAAAGAAAAGCAAACTTCCCTAAAAGTCTCCCTGTTTCCTAGATTAGCAACAACAATGAATCTCCTTTGAAGTCCAGAAACGTGTTTGGTATGGGATGAGTGACCCCAGTTGAATACAGCACAGCTCATGGAGTGAAAATACCCATAGTATGTAGTAGGTTAGCAGCTTTGATTGGCTCACCATTTAAGATAAAGTTCCTTATTATAAAAATGATTTTACATGATTTTCTTGATAGTTCATATACATGATGTTCCCATGTCACTTGCGAATCAAGATGGATACCAAGAAATTTGATATTCTTATTACTACTTGCTATTAGGGACACCTATTTTTTGTTCGTAAGTTTAGCTCTTTTGTTTTATCACCATTTAAATTCAATGAATTTGCTAAGCACCACACTTTAACGTTTTGCTCGCTATTATTGGCTATAGCTATGTTATCTGATTGGGTCATTTTGGTCGTATCATCTGCATACAGAATAAATTTTTAATGAAGATTACAGTTCTCAATATCATTTATGTAAATTAGAAATAATGTGGGACCTAGTATAGAGCCATGAGTCACACCAGATCGTCTGAGGTCGAGAGCAGACATTGTTCCATTCAAGAAGACATATTGCTGCCTGTCTGTGAGATACGAATTAATGAGCTCGATACTACTTGTACTGAAGCCATATGCTTCTAATTTATTGAGTAATGTGTCAAGTGAAACGCAGTCAAAGGATTATATTCGGCACAAGTTTTTTTTTATATATCGCAAAAGCTGCGTAGACAGATAGTGTATTAATCTGATTTTTGAACTGCTGAGGGTCAGCAGAACTGAAAAAGCCTCCTCACGCAAACCCTACAGAAGTCAGGCGGGTCTGTCTGGTAGGTTGATCGCTCTCACCACTACCGTGGAAAGTAAAAAATTCTAATCGATTTTGCTGGAGTTGTCAAGTTACTAGTCTTTTCGATTGAAGGATAGAAAGATTTCAAAAGCCCTAGCTATTCTCTTCTGCGGTCTGTGAACATCGTGCTACTCGCCTCGGGTGCCGATTTTGCTTTAGCCAGAACAGATTTCAAATCACTCTTGAAAATTGAATCACATAGAGGAAAGTACAAAGCTTCTACTATTTTCTAATTCATCCACGAACATCCCACATACCGATATCTGTGACAAAATTGCTAAACGACTGTAAATTATAGTCCCCCGCATTTATCTGCGGTCTTTACCTCCGATACTGTCGGAATTCTATCATTATAGATAGTTTAGATTTCGACCGTAGCATCAGGACGACGATCGTTACGTTAAATGACAGATAGCGCATTTAATTCACTAAAATACTATCCTTTCCCGATATTACAGCAATCAAAAGTGTGCAGGTGATTGTTAAAATTTATCCAGTCTACTTTACAGCATGTAACCCAGGTACCTGCTTGTATTTTTCAATAGCTATAGTAATCGTACGTTAGGGATGGTTGATAGAATATGCGTGCGGTTAACGTTTGGTAATATTCTGGATCTATCCCAATACTATAATAAAGTTGATTTTTCTGCATGACACATCACAATAAACGGGATGTTATTATCTTTTCTGTACTACTAGATTGTGTTTTATTCCAACAAACATTATTATTATCATTGTTATATTTATATTATATATATAACAATGATATATATATATATATATATATATATAATATATATTTATAGCGGAGTAAGCATAGATAAAAGAGGAGCAGAAGTAGTAGGATTCATAATCAGAAGAAATCTGATCGAGCACTTGAAAAAATATGAATTCATTAATGAAAGAATACTAAAAATTGAGATGGAACTAGAAGCACACATATCCACAACGTTAGTAGCATGCTATGGACACAATGAAGACGCAAAAACACATGAGAAAGAAGAATTCGGGGAAAAGCCCACAGAAACGATTGAAGAAAGTAAGGATAGGATCATATTGTTGGGAGATTTCAATGGTAGGGTAGGCAGGTCGAACAATTCTAAGGATGTAATTGGGAAAGAGGGCGAAATATGCAGAAACAATGATGGAGTCAGATTGATAGACTTTTGCTTTGAGAACAGCCTCATAGTAGCCTACACCTTTTTTTCGCATAAGAACATACACAAAATTACCAGAGAGGTCCAAAGCAGAAATGAAAAGTCTAACATTGACTATGTATTGATAAACAGGACATACAGAAAAGATATACTGAATGTCAGAGTCAGAAGAGGGCCTGAAATAGGTAGCGACCACTACCTAGTAGAAGCCAAACTAAGACTACGAAA